TTTATCTCAAGTTTAACAAAAGTATTTAAAAACCTAGACTTTAATGATTATATTTAAATGAGACAAAACCACTATCATTGTTTTTCACAGATAAAAACAATAATTAGTAAAAGCTAGATTTGGATAAAGTCATTGCATAATGCTTAGTAACTTTCAAAAAATTGTTTGACTTTTTAATAGTCCCACCTTCATTAAGACTGGATATGTGAATGTCACTATATATAAAAAACAACCAGATTGCAATATTCCAGATGGCATGATATATTCAACAACCTCTGGATCAGAAAAGAATTCCAAAATATTTTGTCCTACCATTGACCTCTACAATTGGACAGCACCTGTTGAGTGGTTTAAGGTAGAAGAAATTTGGAGATAATAAATAAAAATTACACAAAATAGATGGAAGTAAAGAATTACTGAAAGTGGCATGTCATTTTTTAAATTTCAGAATTGTAAAGCTCTTCAAGGATCAAGGTACTATACACATGAGACATATTTGCTTATTGACAATGCAACCAGCAAGGACACAGGTGATTATACATGCAGATTTATGCACAATGAAAATGGAGCCAGTTACAATGTGACAGCAACCAGATCATTCACAGTTCATGGTAAGCTACTGAATTTAACAAAACAGAATATTTGCTAAAAGATAAGGTGGGAGGAATAGGGCCTTTCTTATTGATTTTCCTGCACTTCATCCTCCCACCAATAGTTACTCCTGCTTCATTTTTTTTGCACATTTTCTACTATGCCAGCATCAAAATTTAAGATATTTCAGAGGAAGATTGTACAGCTAATTCAAAAGCATGTGTTCTTTCCTTTTTGACCTAATTTTTCAAAGATACCATGATCTAAATACTAACTTAACTTTTTTGACTAGTAGACAACTCTTTGAAGAACAAGATTAATGTTTCTTTTCCCAATTTCTTGGCAAAGATTCTGTAAATAGAAAAAGTCTATTTTATCTCTACTATTACTCACTGAATTAGGAGTTGAGTGAAAAACTTTATAAAGATACATAGGTATTACCCTGGCTGGTGTAGCTCAGTGGATTGAGTGTGGGCTGCAAACCAAGGGGTCGCCAGTTCAATTCCCAGTCAGGGCACATGCCTGGGCTGCAGGCCAGGTCCTCAGTACCAAGTGCACAAGAGGCAACCACACATTGATGTTTCTCTCCCTCACTTTCTCCTTCTCTTCCCCCCTCTCTAAAAATGAATAAACAAAATATTTTAATTAAAAAAAAGACACATAGGTATTATTGAGTGGCTTTCAATCCTGATTTGCAATACTTTCAACATCCTTAAAGACCTCAAGTAGGTCACTTAATTCTATTTTTTAAAAATTTACCTTAGGTTCTATGAAAGCCCATTCATGGGAAAGACTTCACAATCCAGAGTATCACATCTACAAAGAGTCAGGGTCTCCTTAGACTAGCTTGATCAATGGATATATAAGAAGTAGGGCCTCTATGTATGGTGGATTTCTGAGAGCAAAGCAACAGTGGAGAAAAGCTTTGCTTGGAGTTTTTCAAAGCTCCACTTCTGTAAAATCAACATCAGCAGACCACATTTCTATTAGTGTCTCTCACTGATTCACATCAAAATTCATAGGGGTTCTTAATCATAGTATCCTAAAATCAATGGAAACCAAGGGCTGTGGGAATGCACCAGTGGTCCAGAGAGTCCCTTTTCATAGTCTTTAGGCATCAGGACCATAGGAAATTAACATTTCTGAATAGGGTGGGCCACCATGGTAGAAAGCTGTGAGCAGAAGTGTGAAGATATGTGTTTTTCATTCTCATATGTCTTTTGAACTCTTCTTTCCTTGAAGCATTATCCCCTTTCTGTAGAATTGTAGTTTTCTAACAATTGTGAGGTCATACAATTAATTTAATGTGCTGGACTAGAATTTAATGAGATAAAAAAGATTAGAAAATATCAAAGAGCATCCTAGGTATAGTAAGACAAAGTACTACTTTTTTTGTTTCATTTGTGTGTGTCTGCATCTGTGTATGTGTGCATACTTGTTGTCATCTTGTCAGAAAATTTAAGAAACATTGTTATGAAATAAGATAGAAATATGAAAATATAAGTTTACATTGATGATCATCCAAATGCTGTTCTGATATATATATATATTCTCTATTTGTTTTTGATTTAAGGGGAGAAAAGCTTTTCTTTGTTTCCAGTAATTATAGCACCACCACAAAATGAAATAAAGGATGTGGAAATCGGTAAGAAAACTTTAAGAATACTGTTAATGTTGCCTGGAAAATACTTCCCTCTGACCCCTGGTCTGAATTCCCCAAGTAGAGATCAGGCAATGAGGATAGTGGATCTTGAGGGTTCAATGAGATGTCAAGGGTAGAAACACTTGTCTTGGGCACTTGCACATTTCAGGAATATGTGGTCACAGCAATACACAGCATTTATACTTGTATTGCACTTTGTAACTCATGTGCCATTGTCACTTCTATCCAGGAGATAGAAATTGTTCCCACTTTAAGCTTGTGGATACTTAGGCTCAGACAGGATGGATGACATGCCCCAGGTTGTAAATAATCAATGACAGAAGTATGAGAATCTAGACTTTATGACTCTATCCATCTCTTCCTTCCCTGGTTCTTTACTAAAGGTGGGATACAATTCAAAGTTTTAGCATGTGGAATATACTCTCATGACCTGGTCTTCACCCGACATACAGCTAGCTGTTAACCCATGTGCCCCATGTTCCCATCACACCGACCATCTCATCGCTCCTATACTGACATGCAACATTTCCACTTTCTTGCCTGGTTTTCCCCACGTTGTTTCCTCTTCCCTTCTCTCAACACTCAGTGCAAATATCACCTCCTCTGTGAAATTCCTCCATGCCACCCTCCTTCACTGCCTGAGAGCATGATCAGAGCCTCTTTATTGGAGTCCAAGGCCATATATATATACCTGTGCAATGTGGCAGCCCTGTTACCTGCAATGATTTCTTCTCCTATGTTTCCACATCACTTGTCAATCTTTCTACCAGTATGTGAGAATATCTTGTGTTCTAACTGTTAATGTTTACACCCTTATCTCCTTTGGAGAGATGCTGAGCTTCTTATCCCACTTCAGACATCCAATTATAGACCCAGGAGCTCAGGGCTCACAAGAGTGTGGCTCAATGCACATACCTGTGCTTCCAGCTGCAGGAATGCAGCTCTGTACTTCAGGTCAGAAAGAAGTAAGTCTCAAGTTAAAGGAGTTGGAAGAGAGAAAGAGGGCTCTTGCTGGACAATTAAATACTGGGATGGTAGCCTGGTCAGGGAAAATACAGTTTTACTTGTTAGAAAGAGATGAAAAGTATTCAAAAGGAGGAGAAATGTGTGAAGGAGAGCAGTTAAAAAGAAATTCTAATTTATAATGAATACTACAGGGAAATAATTTATAGGGAAATACTACATTATAATGTGGGATTGGTGAAGCTTGAGTCATTTGTCTCTTTGGTTTCCTCTTCCAGTGAGAAAGAAGAGGGGGACTTAATTGTGAGTGAAATAAAGATAATGGAGGAGGGAGGGAGGCAAGAAAAGGTCATACAAAGGTGAAGGTGCTAAAAATGGGGAAGGGAAACAATAATCAATTCCTGGCACACACTAGGTGATCAACAATTATTTTGCATTAAATTAAATACTATTTGCAAGAATTTAATTTTATTGGTGAATTTCTTTACTTCTCATCTAGGAAAAACAGCAAATATTATTTGCTCTGCTTGCTTTGGGAAAGGCTCTCAGCTTATGTCTGCTGTCCAGTGGCAGGTTAATGGAAGCATAATTGGGAGCTTTGGTGAATCAAGAATTCAAGAGGAGCAAGAGCAAAATCAAAGGTATCGTCACACAGAAGTTAAAACACCTCCCACACAACTGCAACTACTGAGTAAGCACTGAAAGTAACCAGTTGCCTTCTTAGTTCTAGCAATGAACTGACTTGTCGAAGCACCATTTTAAGAATAGCTGATGTAAGAGAAGAGGATTTGTTGCTGAAGTATGACTGTCTGGCCAGGAATTTTTATGGCTTGAGAAGGCACACCATAAAACTAAGGAGGAAAAAGCCAAGTAAGGAGTGTTTCTGGGACTTCTGTAACCTGAGTTCCTTGTATGAGCCATAAGCTGAGATCATTTCTTAGAGCATGAGATATTGCCTTGTGGTTCCAGAGGGATACATCAAGACAAAAGAAGTGAGCTAACAAATAAAATGTGCTTCTTCTCTTGAGGACACTGGCCTTCTGCAGTAAGGTCTCCTCAGACTGTTTCTGTTTGTCTGTTTACCTCACTATTACTTTACTTCTTTCTTCTACTTCTCCCCTTCCTTCCCCTCCTCTTCTTCCTTCCTCTTCTTCCTCCTCCTCCCCCCTCATTCCCCCCTCCCAATCCTCCTGCTGGTTCCTCTTTAACACCCATCTGCTGCCTTAGTCATTTTTTTGCTTTCTCATTTCATTAGACCTCTGTGTCTCATTGTATATGAAATAAAATACACCAACAGCAAACTGTGGACATGTTCTTTTGTTACCTTTTATAATAACACATTATTAACACATTCCCTTTTATAATGTATTTTTGTCATAAACAACAAATATTTTGTTAGTGAGGCTGGCAAAGTGAATGGGAAGATGAAATGTTTAATTTTTGCCCATTCCAGTAAGAAAATCTGGTGCCTATGCACTGCTTACATTTTCATTTTAGAAAAGTTCTCTGGTTACCTGTGGATTTGAACTGTCTTCATGTTAAATGTATGTAGTCAATGATTTTGTTCATTCTAATTTATTTATATTTGGTATATTTCACCTATTTTTCTTCAAATCAACATAGTTATAGTGTTTCAACAGCTGTGTAAATTAAACAAAAAAATTTGCTACTGTTGTCAAATTGTCACAATGAATTCCTTTATTTCTAATCATAGAATAAAAGAAATTACATCATTGTCTTTAATTTTAAAAACAAAAACTTAAAAAGCCTATATCTCCATATTACAAATATTATCCAATAAATATTTGATACTCATAATAATATTATACATTTATTTATTATTTTCTATGCACCAGGACCTAATTATTTTTCATTAAATTTTTAAAAAATCAATACTCCAGGAGAAAGAGACTGTCACTATCATCTAATTTTAAAGAGGAGGAATTTGGGGCAAAGAGGGGTTGCATAAGTTGCCAAATATTAGAGTTATAAAGGCAAGATTCAAACACAGGCAGTGTTTTCCTGTTTATAAGCACTTCCAGAAAGTATTTTAGTGTTGTCATCATGTAAATCAATTATTTATACATGTAAAAAGCCATTAACATTTATAAAGATATTGAATTTTAACTTCCTTCAATGTCTTGGATTAACTTCTTCATTTAAAAATAACCAGCCATAACCATAGTTACTTCACAACAATCTCCACAAGAAGTATAGATTTCCAGGATACATCCAGATAGGAATTTTTGAAAAAGTGATCTGAGGAAGAATCCTGTTGAAATGATGTTCTTAGGGAGTATTTAGCATTTAAACTGATGACAGTACAGACAGTAAGCTCTCTGTCAATCTGCCGCACCTCCATCTCCACCCCAAGTCCACCTTCCAGCTTTGAATCACTTCACCTTGGCCATTCTTGATCTCATAGTGCTGCTGCATACTCAGGAAGCTGAAGATCAATTGGAGAAATTTTTAATATGGGTCAGTATTTTTTTACCTCAAACCTGGGAGCCCATGCTTTGAGATTTGAGATGAAAATCAAAAGACAACAATATAACCAATTCTCACTTGAGATTCTCCTCATGTGCATCATTAAATGGGACTATTTGTAAAATATGATAGCAGTTCTAAAGCATTAAGTAAACTTAAAACAGCCAAAAATACTATTAATGATCTCAGTTCTTATGTTCAATTTGTATTGCAATACATACCTGTTACAAGTTCTTGAAGATGGGGACCATCTTGCATATGTGAGGGAATGAGCACAGGATAAAGTTCAGTGATGGCTAAAGAATGTTCACCATAGAGAAGGAAGGGGTATGTGTGGGGCTGGAATCTGGCAATTTGACTTCTCTGTCAGATAGCTTTGGAGGCTTAAATGGCTCCTGTTTCTTCTCAACTTACCCAGGTCACCAACTCCAGATTCAACAAATCCCCAAGACTTGTTAATTCTTTCTCCTTAGTACCCCAAATATTGGGCTTGTCCATTCCTTTTTCATTATTAGATGAGTTTGTGCCCTCTTCAGCTCTCACTCCAAGCACTCCTGCCCATTCTACTCCAAGACCACAGAAAAAAACCTTCCACTGCCATCATATTAATTTTACTTTAAAACCAAGTTCATTGTTAACACCTCACTCAATAGCTTTCATGACCTTCAGAATAAAAGGCTAAATACCTTAGCTGGAGCCTCAGTTCTGGCCAAAACCTAACCCTGACCTACTGTATCTTCCATTACTTCCCCAAATTAGATCACTCCAGTTACTCAGAAAACACACTGCCATCTTTGCCCTTGAGTTCATGGCATTTTCTCTTGCCAGAGTAATCCATTTTCTTTTTTGCAGCAATGTAAATCTTATCTATTCTTCAGAGACCTCCTCCTGCAGGAAGGCCTCATTGCCCAGTCTAGCATGGAGTGAGCGTTCTTTCTAAAAACCTCTGGCAGTCAAAATCGTGCCTTTATTTCCTATCTCTGTTAGGTTTACACATGTCTCTGTGTCTTGTACACTCTGAGAATTCCCTACAATACCTAGCCTGGTGCCTTACACATAATATGGGCTCAGTAACTGTTCATTGACTGATTCTTAGAGCAGCATGACAGTTCCAAGTCAGCATCTGTTCATGAATTCCTTGTACCCTCAGTAGAGGCCAACATCCATGTATTTGTTTATTTCACTTTGTTTTCATAATAATGATGATCATTTTCTGTCCTCCCTCTATCTTTGAATAGTTGATCATCAAAGCACCTACTACATACTTGCAGGATTTGGCATATTGTTAATGCTAACCAATATCATGATGATAATGCTGAAAGTGTTCTGGATTGAGGTTATTCTGCTCTGGAGGGACATAGCTAGACCTTACAAAACTAGAAATGGTAAGTAGCAAGTTTCAAGTTCTTCAAAAGAAAAAGTCTCATAATGGCTGTTGGTCACTTGTCTCAATCTCTTAATAGCTATGCTACAAAACCCAGCTTCCATTTTGCTTACCAGCATATAATTAGTAAATCTTTGAGTTCACTCAGAGGCTGTTCTTTGTTCTGCCTTGCTACTCTTTGTGGCTCTAAGACACATCTCAACAATTCAAACTTCCTCCCTAATAGGATTGCTTTCTACTGAAGCCCAGTAACAGACTGCCCCAAGCCCAGAAAGGTTTACACATTTTGGAAAATGTATAAACAGTGTGGAATTCAAAGCATTAACGACACTGTTCTGAATTTTCAAATGTGAAGAGGTTAGATAGGTCCATTGGAATACAGGAACCCTGTTCCATAGAGTCTCACCTATGCAATTGAGTTCAATAAAGTCTCACCTAAGCACATGAAAGAAGACAGTTCTGCCTGCTAAATGGGAACAGCGAACACTGTTCTTTCATCTGGAGACAGATAGATAGAGTTTAGACATTCTATATGGTTCAATCCACTAAAGCTAATTATTGGATTTGGTTGTAAATTTAGATCCCTTAAAATTTTTTACTATCTTGGCACTATTAGCCTTTAGCATTTTCATTTCCCTAGGGGAAGCATGGGGAAAACAAAAGCTAAAATTGAGATTTTTCTCAGCACAGAATACTTTATCCATGACTTGTTTATTTTACATTCTTTTAAAAAAATTTAATTGATGTTCAGATACAGTTGTCTCCATTTTCCCACTACCAATTCCTACTCCATACCCATCCCTACCTCCCGCCCTCAATCCTACTCTGCTTTGGCTTTGTCTATGGGTCCTTTATACATGTTCATTTATGATCCTTTTCCTTCTTTCCCATGCTGTTTCCCTCTCCTCTGGCTACTGTCAGTTTGTTAATTTCAATGTCTCTGGTTATATTTCACTTGCTTGTTTGTTTTGTTATTTAGGTTATTTTGTTATTTAGGTTCTCACTTATAGGTGAGATCATATGGTATTTGTCTTTCACTGCCTGGCTTACTTCACTCAGCATAATGCTCTCTGGTCCATCCACGTTTTCACAAAAGGTAGGAGCTCCGTTCTTTCTGCTATGTAGTATTCCATTGTGTAAATATACCATAGTTTACTGATCCACTCATTTACTAATGGGCACCTAGGCTGCTTTCAGCACTTGGCTATTGTAAATTGTGCTGCTATGAACATTGGGGTACATAGGTTCTTTCGAATTAGTGTTTCAGGATTCTTAGTGTATAATCCCACCAGTGGAATTGCTGGGTCAAAAGGCAATTCCACTTTCAGTTTTCTGATGAAATTCCATACTGTTTTCCACAGGGGCTGCACCAGTTTACATTCCCACCAACAGTGCACTAGGGTTTCCTTTTCTCCACAACCTCCCCAGCACTTCTTATTTGTTGATTTGTTTACCATGGCCTTGCTGATTGGTTTGTAGTGGTATCTCATTGTGGTTTTTATTTGCATCTCTCTGATGGCTAGTGATGAAGAGCATCCTTTCATATTCTCTGGGACCTATGTATGTCCTTGGAGATATCTGTTCTGGTCCTTTGTCCATTTTTTAATTGGATTGTTTGTCTTCCTGGAGTGGAGTTATGTGAGTTCTTTATATATTTTGGAGATCAAACACTTGTCTGAGATATAATTGGCAGATATATTTTCCCATATACTTGGTTCCCTTTTTGTTTTGCTAATGTTTTCTCTAGCCATGCAGACGCTTTTTATTTTGGCGAGGTCCCATTTGTTTATTCTTTCCTTTATATCCCTTGCTCTAGGGGACACATTAGTGAAAATATTGCTGCATGGAACATCTGAGATTTTCCTGCCTATGTTCTCCTCTAGGATTTTTATGGTATCACTACTTATATTTAAGTCTTTTATCCATCTTGAGTTTATTTTTTTGTATGGTGTAAGTTGGTGGTTGAGTTTCATTTTCTTGAATGTAGCTGTCCAGATCTCCCAATACCAGTTGTTGAAGTGGCTATTTTATTCCATTTTATGCTTTTACTACCTTGTCTAATGTTAACTGACCATAGATACATGAGTTTATTTCTGGGCTCTGTATTCTGTTCTATTGATATATATGTTTGTTTTTATGCCAGTACCAGACTGTTTTGATTACTGTGACCTTGTAATATAGTTTCATGTCAGGTGTGGCAATCCCTTCTACTTTGTTCTTCTTTCTCAAATTTGCTGCAGCTATTTGGGGTCATTTATGTTTCCATACACATTTTTGAAATGTTTGTTCTATATCTGTGAAGTATGTCATTGGTATTTTAATAGGGATTGCATTGAATCTATAAATTGCTTTGGGTAGTATGGACATTTTGATAATATTTATCCTTCCAATCCATGAGCATGGTACATGCTTCCATTTTTTTGTGTATCCCCTAAGATCTTTCCTCAGTGTTGTGTAGTTTTCTACCTAAGGAGGTAGAAGACCTCCTTAGTTAGATTTATTCCTAGGTACTTTATTTTTCATGTTGCTATAACAAATGGAATTCTTTTCCTGATTTCTGTTTCTGATATTTCATTGTTAGTGTACAAAAATGCCTTTGATTTCTGAATATAGACTTTGTATATGGCTGTTTTTGCCAAATTCACTTATTACATCAAGTAGCTTTTTGGTGGAGTCTATAGCATGTTCTATGTACACTATCATGTCATCTGCAGACGATGAAAATTATGCTTCCTCCTTTCTAATTTGGATGCCTTTTATTTCTTCTTGTCTGTTTGCTGTGGCTATGACTTCCAATACTATGTTGAATAGAAGTGGAGAAAGCAGACATCCTTGTCTTCTTCCTGATCTTAGTGGGAAAGATTTTAGTTTTTGCCCATTGATTATAATATTGGCTATAGGTTTCTTATATATGGACTCTATTATATTCAGGAATGCTCCCTCTACTCGCACTTTGCTAAGTATTTTATCATAAATGGGTACTATATCTTATCAATTGCCTTTTCTGCATCTATTGATATGATCACGTGATTTTTGTCTTCCCTTTTGTTTATGTGATGTATTATGTTTATTAATTCATGAATATTGTACCATCCTTGCATCCCTGGGATGAATCCCAATTGGTCATGTTGTATGCTCTTTTTAATGTATTGTTGGATATGGTTTGCCAATATTTTGTTGAGGGTTTTAGCATCTATGTTCATCAGTGATATTGGCCTGTAGTTTTCTTTCTTTTCTATGTCTTTACCTGGTTTTGGGATGTTGATGATGCTGGCTTCATAAAAAGATTTTGGGAGTCTTCCATCTTCTTGAATTTTTTGAAGTAGCCTGTGAAGGATGGGGGTTAGCTCTTTCTCAAAGGGAAAGGAAGAAAATTCTACAAAGTACAATTCTCCCATGACACTGTATTGTAACAATAGCTACCCTACCCACAGCCAACTCACAAAGTTTGTTAAAGGTGTAGAGAGAAAACAGGTATTTTAAGAACTGGGCAAAAGGATGTGAAATGACCCTTGACAAGAGAATTCATTTGGAGTGTTTGGATAGGAGAGAAATAGTAAGAGTGTAGAATGGAAACAAGTTGTAGCTAGAAAGAAAACCAAATTTGAAATGAAAATATTGCAAGGAAAGAGGAAAGTAAAATGAGCTAGGAGCAGCAGGAGAGGAGCAAAATATGTGAAATGCAATATACTATAGTATAAAATCTAGTAACTTATTATATATAAACTCACTGGGCAAGAAATGAATACTATAAAGTTACGCAGGAAAGAAAACATCACGAATCATGAAGATCACAGTGGTTTCTGTCTGAGTAGCCTCTTGCTTGTATTTACCTTTTTTTTTTTCTTTCTGGATCTGCCTCTGGTGGTGTCAGCTATTGACCCTGTCTGACCTTTGACAGCCTGTTCCATACATCCAGTGATCTGCTATCACTGGCTGTCTCCTTCAATTGTTAATCTGGTCACTCTCCACTCAGCAGGCAGATTTAAACTCCATAGGGCAGAGATCCTCCTGAGGTTGTGGCTACTGTTTTCCCTCAGGCTACTGCTGCTCAGAGGGGAGTGGTCTGTCTAAGCACAAAGGCTGCTGCCATCTGGGGGATGACTCAGCATTGGGATTCCTGCAGCTACTCTCTCAGTTCTCTCCCCATGGCTTTATCCCTCCCTGCTACCCCCCCCCCCCCGTCTCTCCTCAGGCATCTCCACTTTTTCCCCAAGTTTGCTGGTGCACCTGGGTAAGTGGCTGGAAGTGGAAATTTGGGTATTGGCCCTTTAAATGTCCCTTGGGTCTCCAATTGTCTATCTCTGTCAGAGAGCAACCCTGCCACTTTTCACCACTGGTTGTTGTTATCTGTGTACTTTTGGGGCTCTGGTGTTCTAGGCTGGGAATCTGAGCTTAGGGTTTAGACCCCAATCTTCTCTGGGGGATCCAACTGGCTGCTTAATTATCCCACCAGTGCTGCCACCTGAGGGTGTCCAACCAGCCCTCTTGAGTCTGGACTCCCTACCAGACGAGTTGTGCTGAAGCTGGTTCTGTGTGTCTGAAGTTATATACTTCTCTCTGGCTGTTGCTCAGTTGTTTGTGCTGAGTGGTTTCTCCACAAATGAGTTGTAATTCCAGATTCATTCTGGGAGATCAGTGTTAATTCTATTCACTCCTCCACCATCTTTATTCTCCCTATTTTACTTCTTTTCATAATAATAATGATCACTTTTTTGTCCTCCCTTTATCTTTTGAATAGTTGACCATCAAGGCACCTACTACATACTTGCAGGATTTGGCATTATTGTTAGTCTTAGTCAATATTATGATGACCTGTGAACAATACTTGTTAATACAGTCTTGATTAAATATAACAATATGGTTTGAACTAACCTGTACAAACCCTTCCCTGTTCTCTACCACTCAGTCTGGGGCTACAAAAAGGAGAACTTTGAGTTTAAAATAGATTTTCTGATGATATTTTTTGGTGGTAGACTATTGTCATCAACTCTAGATTCTAGAATATTTGGGGGGCTGGGATATCATCACCACTAACCATAAAACTTGGTGATAAATAATAATTTTTGTAGAACTGAGTAATAAAGTTGTACTTACTCTCATTTTCAGATGGAAAGATCTATGATGCTTATGTTATCTATCCGCGGAACCACAAAGATAGTCCAGAAGCAACCAGTTCTGTTGACTACTTTGTTCACCAGATTCTGCCTGATGTTCTTGAAAATAAATGTGGCTATAACTTATGCATTCATGGGAGAGATTTGCTACCTGGAGAAGGTAACACTATCAACATACATCTGGCACAGAAATTCACTTCATCAGAAGGCTAAGCAATGAGTGGTCTTACCCCTGCATTGGATAATAACTTATAATCGTTTTTCTAGTTTTTGAGACCAGAGATTTTAAATATTTCTCCAGAAAAATGAGATGCCTAATCTTTGCTTCTCCTGTCCCTTTGCTGGCCTTATCATGAGGTATTCACAGTAGTGTCAGTGACGTGAAGACAGGGTAAGGCATCCTTAGTATGTGAATTTAGCAGGGCACTGCCCCTACTTTATATCCCATGTCCCCTAGTAGAAGTACTTAACATTTCTTAATTCTCTCTAGAAGATTTGAGTCTACAACCAAAGAATTATGTTCTAACACCCAGAGGCAATTCTAAAATATTTATAGAGTTGTATGAGTTTCCTTATGTTGGTGAAACATTTGCAAATTTATATTCTCACAAGAACAACTAAAACTGTGTCTTCTGTTTCTTAATATTACCAGTTGATTTCATGTACTTTTGCAAGTTGTTTCACAATTCTAGTGTTTCAGTAGTCATTCTTATCTTCCCTCTATATTTATGACACATGCCTATGAACCCTCCTTACCCTTCTTAAATTCCTCAGACTCCAGGAAGTGTTTGGAATGTGAATGAGGGAGGAACATTAGGAGCATAAGTCCAATAAAGTTAATGTTTAGTAAACCGTGGGTTTAACTGGCATTCCTACTGAAAGGAGGAATTCACACGCCTATGAATTAAAAGGAACACACAACAGGTGAATTTGGTTTATCCTGGAATATTCGAGCAATGTTAATAACCTACTAATGGCCTGGGAGACTCATAAAGTGTACAATTCAGGAAACTGTAATCTAAGTAATCGAGGGTCTCTTCTTCCTCCAGCTCTCCTCACTGGCTACCATGAAAGCAGAGAGTCAGGAGACATGGCACTCAAATGCTCTTTTCATATCACACATCTGCTTTAGTAGTTGCAGAGACTCTAGCTATTAGTGATGTCACAGTATTTCTAGTTACACCTCTTCCCAGTCAAACAGGGATGCTAGCTCCCTGAGGCTCAAGCTTATGTTGACTTTCTGGTGCTGTTTTTCATTTGGAAAGGTTTTTCACTTCACCCTCCTCAAATATGTCCTCTGATTACCTCAATCAAAGTAAAATAAAATTCAACAAAACACCATCAGACATTACTCTTCCCATAAGAAAAAGTTTATGTCTGATGGATGCAGTATATTTCTTCCCATGCTAGTTACCTTCCATTTGCTCCCTCAAATCTACTCTGTAACCCCTTTTATCCAGTGTCCCTGGGTGGCTGGTCATTATGGAATCTATCCTCCCTTGCTCTTTACTCCATGTTGGTTTTGGCCAAAGGGAGGCACTGGCAGGAGTTCTGGAGAGGAGGAACCAACATCCTTTGCCCCTTCTGGGTGAAGTTGCCAGGGTAGTTGCAATTCTCTCTCCTGGAGCAGGGTTTCTGTCAGTTGGCCTTCATACTCCTTGGATTCCATAAGTGCTTCCTCCCTTGCACAGTGGAGGGTGTAATGTCTCCCCGATATTACCATTTGTGGGATTCTGCACCATCTGTTATTGATTTCCCTGAGCTCTGCCCACATCTTTTATAAATTCTCATTTCATTAAACTCTTTCACCAGTCCTTTTAAATGTGCCAAGTTTTCTGTTAGGATCCTGACTGACCCAAGGTCTCTACTTGGCTCAATTTACCATTTACTTCCTTATTTCAAACAAAATAAATAGGCCATCTTTTAGCCACCACTTTCTAAGGATATCTGCAGTTGTTTTGTTCATGGTTGGGTTTCCTTAATCATGCTGTCACCTCCTTGCAGTGACACCTGGGTATTTTACATGTTTTTCTGAGCCCACTCAGAAGTTAGTTAAGATCACTATACATACAGCTGATGCTTTATAAACACTGACTTGCCAAAGGGATCCATCTCCCTTAAGATTTTTCTTGTCTGGATTAAAGCAGCTTCTAAAACAGAGAATGGGGGAAGATGAAGTAGATCCAGGACTTCCTAGAGACATTAGTCTGTTGAGAGGAACAAGGGTTCCTCTGTTTGCACTATTTAATATAAGAGTGAAAATTCTAAACCCTTTGAAAACTTGTAAACTAATCTTTAAAAAGATAATATGTAGCTAATGAGCCTGCATTTTGTCTCCTGCTAAATACCTCTATATTTGCATTTAACTGGAAGTATTCTGCTTTAGTTAGGACTGACCTGCCTGGGAAAGAAGAGGGCCTTGGCCCTTATCTCACGGTGAGAGGGGTAAGATGCAACATTTCTCCTTTTCCAAAGAAGTGAATTGATAGTATCAAGATCTCACACAAGATTATAACAATCACAACTTTTAAAAGTTTCAAAAAATTTATGATCAAAGCATTAGATTTAAAAATACAACAACAGAAATCTTTTCCATGTCTTTATTACTAGATATGGCCACTGCAGTGGAAACCAATATCCGAAAAAGTCGGCGGCACATTTTTATCCTGACTCCTCAGATCGTATACAGCAAAGAGTTTACCTATGAGCAGGAGATCGCCTTGCACAGTGCCCTCATCCAGGATGACTCCAAGGTGATTCTGATTGAAATGGAGGCTCTGAGTGAGCCAGGTAGACTGCAACTTGCTGGGCTTCCAGATTCCCTCCAGCACCTGGTAAAAATGCAGGGTACCATCAAGTGGAGGGAAGACCATGTGGCCAACAAGAGGTCCCTAAACTCCAGATTCTGGAAGCATGTGAGGTACCACATGCCTATACCAAACAGACTTCCAAGAAAGACCTGCATTCTGGCTTCTTTGAATGCACAAGAGCAGTAGGGCCTATGTGGGTGCGTCAATGCACCAGACTTTGTAATTGAGGCTTTTCCTACCTGCATTATACCACTGTGCTAGGCAGTGAGAGTTGGGCCTTGAGAAGTAGGAAGGGCAAGAGAATTTTTATCTAGAGACTTTACTTCCATTTTCCTGATTCTGTATGATTACAAAATGCTTCCAAATTTTTACCCTCAATCTCCTTCTCTCTACTGAACTTTTCCTCCCTTTTGTCCTTTGCTTGTCTTTCTCCACTGTGGTCTGTGATCTTTTCCTCTTTTTCTTCCTTTCTGATTGCCTTCTCCTTGTGCCTCATTAATATTGTACATTTTGAACATCAAATTTAAAGTTTTAGAGTTCAACTTTTATGTAAGCCGGAAGAACATTCAGATTCCCTTGACCAGAACATTGGTAGTAAACTTTGCTTCACATGCCAGAATTTATTATATTTTATTTGATCAGGGCTTAGTTTTATCATCTCAATATTGCCTATTTTGTTGGAGTACCTTACCCAATCGCCATTATTACCTAATTTGTTTCAGTTCTAAAATTTATTTCATATATTGTTATTGTTATTAGAAATATTTTTCTCACTATAAAAATTATAGAATAGAAGGTATAAAAGAAGAAAATAACAAAAATAATTTATGGATCTATCATCCTAAGATTATATATTTGCTTTTTAAAAAATAATTCATATTTAAACATACCATTTATATAGCTGAGATTACGTAGTGCATAGTTTTTATATTTTTTATACTTAACATCATGATAAAAGCATTTGACATGTCATTTAGACTTTAACATTTAAAAATATTTGTAGTGTTCTATCTTGTGCTTGTGCTACACTGGCTTTATAATGATAGCTACCATTTTAATAATCTGCAATGACCATATCAATATATCTTATATCTTTCAATGAAAAAATTTTATTTCAGAAACTTCATTTGTTGTCACATTTCTATGACATTAGTAGGACATTTTGACAGAACTATTTTTGATAAACTAAAGATTATTTGCACAGTCTAGGCTGTTCCTGTCAGAACATTCCTGGAGTTCACTTACCTGCCCTCAGGGGCCACAGAACTCATCAGTGGACCCATAGCTAAGGCAGAGTGTCCCCTCAGCAGGGAGTCCTGTGAGAGTATAGATTTTGCAAGTCGATGGAGACTCTACCCTCAGTTAAGCTGCTTAATAAAGTGTATGATTTTGTATTTAACTGGCCCCTGACCCCCTCTCCCTGCAAAATACTGGAGACCCTTGACAGGAAGTGTAATCTTGAACTCACTGCATTCAATACCATGCAGGATGTTTTCTGAAAAGAAACCATATTTCTCAAAAGTTGCCTAAAGGAGCTACAGTTACCCATCTCTCTAGATACCCTATATTCTAAATCTATATTTCTTGGATTAGAATTGCTGGGTAAAGTGGAAAACATCAGTGAAAGTTAAATTCAGAGAATGAAATTTCATATGAAATTGATCTGAAATTCAAATTTACCTAGGCATCTTGTATCTTTGTTTGCTAAATCTGCTTACCCTTCTCTGGTAGATTATTATACTTTTCTGTGGTGACATCTGATTTTTTTAATTGTTCAAGTACATTTTTCTTCATTTTCACCCCACCATGCCCTCCCCACTCCACCCATCCTCACTTTCCACCCTCGAACCCACTCCCTTTGTTTTTGTCCATATGTCCTTCATATATGTTCTTTGATGCCCTCCTATTATCCCCTATTGATTTTTTTATTACTCAAAAATTAGCCAATGAAAAGGATGTGGTATAGTTGATTGATTAACATCTTTTTGAATAAAACAGCTATGTAATCACGAGCAAGTTACATTATCTAAAACTTAGTTACCTTAGGTAAAATGAGAATAATCATAACAAAAACTCTTTGTATTTCTGTGCTAATCAAATGAAAAAAAAGTACCAGTATTTGCTTCAGAGTAAGAAAGCAGTAAATGGCAGCAGTTGTTATGATACTTCACGATGTTTCTTGTAACATGGATCATATTCCATGTCCTCTCTCACTGATGACCTCTAAAGAATCATCTGTCTCCAGCCCCACTATCAAAATAGATGTGCCTTCATTTCTGCTTCTCCACCCACCTCGAATGACAGATGTTTTATTGATTTATGGACACAAGGCATTTTGGAGCTGATTTTATTTCCCTTTTTACATTAGTTTCTTAAAAGCATACAGCCAAATTTGTGATCTTTCTATAGCAAGTATATGGGATATCATAACAAGGGATTTATAATAATCTCTTCCCTGTCTCCATAATTCTTTTGTTTTCTATTTGACCTATATTTCTTACCTTTACATATATTTTAACTCCTTACATTATAAGTTCTTTTGCAAGTATTTAGCAAAAATAGTAAGTACTTTGCAAGTATTTATTTTATGAACATGTGCTGAGTATCTCTCTGGAAGGGGCATGGAGAGGAAAGGCTATAAAGGGAAATATGCAGGTAAGTCACATTCCTCCTTTACTTTAGGGATTTAGAATACACTGTGTGAGCTTGGAAGGAAGAGAGAAATACTCCAGAGACCCCAGACAGGGCTAGACTTGGGGGAAATTGACATTGCTGAACTCTTTTCTCCATCATTCCTTTTCCTAAACTTACATACCACTTCCCAGGTCACCTAGACTATCTGGGTTTCAGTTTCTGCAACTGAAAAATGGGAGGATGGAAAAGAAGATCTCTGAGGCTTTTCTCAGGTTCCATAACTCATGGCTTCAAATAACACACTCAGAGAGAGGTCACAGACCTGTCAGGCTACCTGGCTTCTCAGACCAGCAGCACCAGCCTCTCTATTTCTTCATCTGTGTAGTGAGAGTAATAAGCGCTTCACCTACTACACCAGGTAGTGTGAATAAAATGAATTCAGCCAAATCCTGTTGAGTGTCTGCACTATAATTATGGTGAAAAGTTTTGTGAATTATACAAACACAATGAATTATTTCTAATTGAGTTAAATTTGCATACAATAAAATTCAGATCCTAAATTTTGACAATTACACATATCTATGTAATTATCACTCAAAAAAAGATAGAAATATTTTAATCACCTTACAAAGTTCCCTCTTACCTCTAAGGCAGACAATATTTTGATTCCTGTCTCCATGGATTAGATTTGTCACATCTTGAAATTCATATCAGTGAAGTTGGACATCACTGTGACTCATGACTTCCACACAATGAACATGTCTGAGATTCACCCATATTTTGTATTTGTGAGTAGTTTGTTTCTTTGTATTACTGAGTTGGTTTCCAGAATATGCCCACACAACAGACTGTCTAAACATTTCTCTGTTGATGGATGTTTGGGTTTTCCCTTTTCTTTTTTAAGGGGTTTTCCCTTTTATATAAAGCTATCATGAATATGGTTACTTGTTGACATATGTTTTAGGGTTTTCTTTGTCCAGTTCCTAGGAGTGGTCATGATATATATTTAAAATATTAAGAAACCGATCAATTGTTTTGCAATCTAATTGTACCATTTTACATTCCCTGCAGTTGTATCTGAGACCTCTGTTGCTTCACCTCCTCCCCAATAATTGGTACTGTCAGTTTTCCTCTTGTTTCAGTTACTTTAGTGGATGTTAAATGAATCTTGTGGTTTTAATTACAGTTTTCTGATGATCAATGATGCTGAGCCTTGTTCATGTTTCTGTGGGTCATTCAAACATCATACTCTGAAGGTAAAACCTTTTGCACATTTTTAAAATGTGTTGGGTTTTATGGAGATATTGTTGATGCATAGAAATTATTTTATATTCTGGATACAAGGTCCTCTTTAGGTAGATGTAAGGTGAGATATTTTCCAGGTTTACCTATTCATTTTTTAATGGTGTAATTGATTATCAGACATTTTAATTGTGGTAATATTTTTCTTTCATGGTCAGTGCTTTCTGTATCCCAGCAAATAATTTTTTTTGTTTGCCCACTCCAAGGTTATGGAGATAGTCTCCTATGTATTTTTAGGAAATATTTATAATTCCAGCTTTAAAAAAATTCCTCACCTGAGAATATTTCAGTTGATTTCTAGAGAGAGAGGAAGGAAGAGAGAGAGAAAAACACTGATGTGTGTGAGAGAGAAACATCAATTGGTTACCTCCTATATGCGCCCTGACCTGGGACTGAACCTGCAAACTTTTGGTGTATGGGGTGATGCTCTAACCAACTGACCTCCCTGATCAGGGCTGTGGTTCCAGATTTTAGGCTTAGGTCTATGATCCATGGTGAATTAGTATTTGTACATAGAATGAAGTAAGAACCAAAGTTCACTTCTTTTTCTATAGAGATATCCAGTTGTTCAGCAACATTTGTGAAAGACTTTTCTTTACCCATTGAATTGAATAATGTTTTGGTCAGAACCTAACAGACTATGTATGTATGGGTCTATTATATACTCTATTATTTTCTGTTTATAGGTTCATGTAAATATCACATTGACTACTATTGCTTTATTACAAAACTTCAAAGCATTGTAAGTCCTTTAACTTTGTTTTCTCAAGATTGTTCTGATTATTCTAGATTGTTTTCACATAAGTTTTAGAAACAGCTTTACCATTTCTTTGAAAATTCTTTCTGAGAATTAGATTGGGATTGCATGAAATATATGGACTCTGTAACCTATGCAGCCCATAAACCATAAACTCTATAGCTTATGGAAAATAGGTATTTTAACAATGAGTTTGCCAATCCATAAACATAGTATATATTTTTCATTTACTTAGCAGTGTTTTGTAGATTTCACAGTAGATATCTTGTATATCTTTCAAAGGATTTATGCTTTCATATTTGATTTCTTTATGCTATTTTAAATCATATTTCTAACAAATTTCATTTTCCAAATTTCCACTAATGGAATTATAATTGAGTTTTGTCAAGTTGACCTCATATGCCATGTGTGGAGAGCAGGACAGAATTAAGATGGTTTCAGTCCAGTCAACTAAGATGGCATTGAGAGAAGCCATGTTTACAGCATTCATAGTAGAGCAATGACTGAGAGGGATGATGCAAACCCTCTGCAGTGTAACGTGGTAGACATGTATTTATCTGAAAAGTAATACCACCACCTCAGAGCATGGGCAGTAGAGTAACATAATCAACATGTGCTTATCAAGGTGGCACAAAACAACATTTGTTAATCAGAGGCTAATGCAGCATTGTGTCATACAACAGTATAAAAACAAAAGCCTTCAAATAGACAGCTCAGACAGTAGTAGAGAGGAGCTGAGACAGCTGAGAGGAGCTGAGACTCGGAGAGACACCCTGCTGCTCCAACTGACCCTACTGCAGCTCACTCTGAAGCCACCGTAGTAGAATCTGCCTTGCAAGATACTGACCAGCTGGCTCCTGGACCTGGACCTGATCTGAACTCTTGGGATTCAGGTTCATTATCAGCCAATTCTCTTGTGAAATGTTATTTCTGAGTGATTATTGTTACTGGGGTACTATAGGTTTGGATTGAATCTGCATTAATAAAAGCTGACTGAATACTATAATTGCCTCTGTTGACTCACTGTTATTCCATGGTGCTTGTGTTGTCTGTAAGGTTGGTGGCATTATAGGTGACCTGGCACTTCTGTTCTGTGGCAAAGGCTGGAGGCTGGCTTATAGAAAAGGATATAGCATGAATACTTGTAATGTTAGAGTATCACTCATGACTCCATGATCTATTTATTGTTTGCAAGAATTTTTTTTTATAGATTTCAAAGGATGATCTGTATAAAATTATGCCCTTTTTCAAAACCAGTAATTTTACTTCTTTCCCATCTTGATGCTTTCTATTTTAATTTTTTTTACTTACTATAAATTGATTGTCCTAGGTGAGAGCTGTCCTTATCTTGTTCTCCATTTAGTAAAAACAAAGTGTTTAATTATTAATTAGAAAATTACCTGTTAGTTTCTTACAACTATTCATTATCAGATGAAGAATGTTCCTTTCTACTTGCAGTTTTCTGAGCGTTATTACTCAAGAAAGGGTGACTTTTATCAGATGCTTTTCTTATTGTATTTATCAAGATATAATTATATTTCTTTTATTATATCAATACATTAACATTATATATTATATTTATTATATCAATAATGTAAATTATTGTCATTGGATATAAAAATAAAAAGCACTGTCTCATTAAATCCTTTCCCCGTAAGTCATGATTTCAGTCTTTATTTTTGTTGGAAAGAGCCAACTGCAGACCAGCCTAAAAATGTATCCTGAGTTCTACCACGCTATGAAAATTTAGAGAAACACTTCTGCCTCAAGCGTTCGTTTCTTCTAAGCAATTTAAATCCTCAATTCCACACATCTGTAGCCCCTCTCAATTGCTTCCCAATAGAGAATCCCCCCAGCTTAGCCTGAGGGCTCAGGACCTGAGGTGCCTGAGACAGACCTGCTCCTCACCTTTGGCTTACCTGAGACTGTGCTGTGTCCTTGAGAGTCTTCCTTAGCTCCTTTTCTGTCCCCAGCCCTTTCCACCCACTTCCCTTCAGTACTGGCACAGGTTGACTTTACTCATTTTACTGTGCTGCTCACAGCTCTTAGGCCTGAAGGGGGCGTAAGGGAAGCGCCGGCGCCACTACCCAGCCTTCCAGGTCACCAGCCACTACCCACAATCCCAGAGGTCCAGGCACCTGCTGCGCATCCTAGGAACCAGGGTGCAGGGGCGGGATTCTCCAGCTGCACCACGGATCCCGCGGCCCAGTAGCTCCCGGCACTCCAGGCTTGGTACGCAGATGAAAGATACCAGACGCCAACCTGCCACCCCTGGACCCGAGCAGTGCCCCACCGCGCCACAACGCGCCACACCACGCCTCCACCCGCAGCTTCACAGCCAGAGGCTTTTTATTTCTTCTAACTTGCTGTAAGGTTTCTCTGTTCATCATTCTCTAGCTGCTTTATCTGTTCAATCCCACTCCCGGTTCCTTTCTCTCTTGCTTCTTGTTTCACAGTGCTGGGAGGCAGCCCCTTTCTGTTTCCCACCTGCTTTCTGAACTTCCGGTGTTGCCACCAGTGTGAGGGAGGGACAACTGCCAACCCTCAGCCTCTGTGACACCTGTTGGAAGGTAAGGACGAAGCGCCACTGCCATCTGTACCACTCTCTGTCGTCCGCTGGCAGGTATTCTAAAAACAAAATCAGTTTAAGAATGGATCAGGGGAAGAGAGTGAGATGAATACAGTTTGTCGGGTATGGCTGGGATTGCCTAATCATAAAGTTATCCAAGAACTGTGATGGACCTGCTTGGGGGTTCTAGCTCAGGGAGACACCTTAGATTAAAGGCAAAGATTTTGCAATCAGGTTAATTTTAGGTGTGAATCTGAGATGTATGATTTAGGAGCTGCCTGCCTTTGGATAAATCACTGAATTTTTCTGTGCCTTGGGTTTATCTCCTTTTGTTAGGCATAATAAGAGTGCCTACTTAATTTCGTTTGTAAGAAGATTAAGTAAAAATAATGCACCCACATGTTTTTACACAGCATCAGACACAAATTAACTGTTTAATAAAACTCTCTCTTATTTTAGCTGTTCTAACTTTTCCAGAAAAAAGTTGGGAATTTTTTTACCTCTAAAACAGTACTATTATATAATATACATTATAGTATATAGTAATACTTTTACTATAAGTTACATATAATATATTATATAATGTGTGTAAATATTAGTATGTATGTGTATGCACATGCACATTCAGCCCTGGCTGGTGTAGCTCAGTGGATTGCGCACAGGCCTGTGAACAAAACACATGCATATTTTTACACACAGATGAATAACGTGTGATAGCATCATCAATTTTGCCTGATTGTATAGTAATTGGATGGTATGGTAATTGGTATAGCATTATACCAATGCTATACCAATTGGTGCAGTCTTGGACAAAGGTTGTTGGGGCAGTAGCCATTGAAGCACTTCCTTCACAAAACTACCATTGAGCTAAGCTGCAAGGACTGCAAGAACCTGGCAGCTGGGAGAGTGGGCAGGCTGGTACAGGTACCAGGACCAGCACGTACATAGGTGGACATGGGGAAGTATAAGGATAATAATGGGCATTTGTGTGACAAGGACTTTGGGGGGGAATGGTTCTCCTGGATTTACAGATGAGTAACTTAATTCAACATAAATGCTTTTCTCCTTAGTCTGGAAGTGTGCATGCATGTATGTACATGTATGTACATGTGTATGTGTGTCCAAGGTCTTTTTTTCCTGTTTGCATTTGGTTATTTTATCATCTGAAAAGCTAAATAAAACACTTATGCATTGAACACTGTAGAGAAAGAATTATGTTTCAAAAGCACTGGTGTTATGATTTTCATGAAGAAAGTTTATCTTAGAAGATGCTGAATTATGTTTTGCTAATAAGAGTGATTTACATTCTAAGAGTAATCTACATCTATTTATGTGTAAGTCAGTGTAACTCTGTATAATCAGGACTTAATCATTTCACCTAGTCGAGTCTCAGGTTCCTTGCCAGAAAGAACTTTGGCCCTGGTCTCAGTTGGTTGGGTGTTGTCCTGCAAACCAAAAGGACCCAGGTTTGATTACCACTCAAGGCACATGCCTGGGTTGTAGGTTTGCTCCCCAGTCAGTGTGTGCAAGAAGCAACTGATCAATGTTTCTCTCTCACATCAACATTTCTTTCTTTCTTCCTTCCCCTTTCTATAGAATCAAAAAAATTTTTTTTTAACTTTTAAAAGTATATTTTATCGATTACACTATTAAAGTTGTCCCATTTCCACCTCTTTATTCCCCTTTGCCCTGCACACCCCTCCCACCCACATTCCCCACCTTTAATTTATGTCCCTGGGTTGTACATATAATTTCTTTGGCTTCTATATTTCCTATATTATTCTTTCCATCCCCCTGTCTATTTTCTACCTACCATTTATGCTACTTATTCTCTGTACCTTTTTATTCTCTCTCCCACTCCTACTCCCCCACTAATGACCCTCCATGTGATCTCCATTTCTGTGACTCTGTTCCTGTTCTAATTGTTTGCGTAGTTTGTTTTTGTTCTTTTTTAGGTTCAGTTAATAGCTGTGAGTTTCTTGTCATTTTACTGTTCATATTTTTTATCTTCTTTTTCTTAGATAAGTCCCTTTAACATTTCATATAATAAGGGCTTGGTGATGATGAACTCCTTTAACTTGACTTTATCTGGAAATTACTTTATCTGCCCTTCCATTCTAAATGAAAGCTTTGCTGGATAGAGTAATCCTGGATGTAGATGTTTGCCTTTCAAGACTTGGAATACTTCTTGTTAGTCCCTTCTTGCCTGCAAGGTTTCTTTTGAGAAATCAGCTAATAGCCTTATAGGAACTTTTTTGTAGATAACTGTCTCCTTTTCTCTTGCTGCTTTTAAGATTTTCTCTTTGTCTTTAATCTTGGCTTTAATGTAATTATGATGTGCCTTGGTGTGTTCCTCCTTGGGTTCAACTTCTTTGGGACTCTCTGAGCTTCCTGGACTTCCTGGAAGTCTGTTTTTTTTTGCCAGATTGAAGAAATTCTCCTTTATTATTTGTTCAAATAACTTTTCCACTTGTTGCTCTTCCTCTTCTCCTTCTGGCACCCCTATGATTTGGATGTTGGAACATTTAAAGATGTCCTGGAGGTTCCTAAGCCTCTCCTCATTTTTTTTTTTGAATTCTTGTTTCTTCATTCTTTTCTGGTTAGATGTTTCTTTCTTTCTTCTGGTCCACAGCACTGATATGAGTCCCAGTTTCCTTCCCATCACTGTTGGTTCCCTATACATTTTCCTTTATTTCACTTAACATAGCCTTCATTTTTTTCCTCTAATTTGTAACCATATTCCACCAATTCTGTGAGCCTCCTGATTACCAGTGTTCATGTATCTGATAGGTTGGACATCTCTTTGTTGCTTAGTTGTATTTTTTTCTGAAGGTTTGATTTGTTCTTTCATTTGGGTCATTTTTTTTGTCTCAGTGCTCCTGTTATGTAGCAAGGGGCAGAGCCTTAGTTGTTTACTGGGGTGGGGCAATCCAAGTTGTCATGTTGAGATGCTGTAAGTGGTGGAGGAATCTGTGAGGAACAATGCCACTCGCTCTGTTCTCTGCTGGTTTTCAGTCACTTCCCCTGCTATCCACAATCAAATTGGGTCCTTTTGGTGCTGATTCCCTTTTGGGTGGTTTTGTGTATATTCTAGGACCCTGTGGATCTCTCCAATGAACTTTCCTGTGAAGCTGGGAGTTTCTTCAGCTGCTGCCTCAACCCCCACAGGTGTTTTCAGTCTGAGGCTTTGAGGCTTTATTTCCCTATACTGTAACCCTGTGTTGCATGTTCTATCTCACTCCCCAGGTGTTCCTCCCAGTTTCTCTGCATGTGAATGTGAGACCACCCAGTCCTCCAGCCACTGCCTTACTGCGAGTTTTCTCCACCTGGCTGCCCATCTCAGTTGCCTGTCTCTGCCCCTCCTACTGATCTGGATGGATGTTTCTTTTTTAACTCCTTGGTTGTTGGAATTCCATACAGTTCTATTTTCTGGCAGCTCTTGTTGGTTTTTGTTTCTAAATTTGTTATTATCCTTCTTTTGGTTGTGTGAGGAGGCATAGTGTATCCACCTATGCCTCCATCTTGTCTGGAAGTCTCAAAAAAAAAACAAACCCTTTGAAGCAGCTTAGAAACTGTGGGTTTCTGTAAGTTATTCTTCCTTTAGAGAATGGTCATGTTACTCAGGGTGGGGTCCATAAACAAGGAGAGAGGAGCAGAATCAGGGGCTGAGGAGAGATGACTACTTGGACACTGTGGAGGTTGCTTGGACTGTACTACCTTGGGGATCTGAGACAGTGGCCTGCTTGCAGCTGACCCTCACCCAAAGTCACATTTTTGGAAGAGAAAGTTTTTTATTCAGAGAACATTTCATGCCATTTAGTGACTTAGAGGAAGTTTGTGAGTGTACTTTGTGTGTATGTGGGTATGCACGTATATACCTACATGTATATACGTATACATACATAATATATAAGCCTCAGAGTCCATATATCTAAAAATATTATTAAATATATTTAATGTATATTAAATTTATTTTTACATTTACAGAGAAGTGCCCTAGATCAGTGTCTCCCTACCTTGGCTGCATATTAAAACCACCTAGAGGAGTTTTACAAATCAGGATGCCCAGGTTGTACTCTAGATGCCTGGGTTCCACCCAGGCATCATTATTTTTTTTCATGCTCCAAGTGAGAATGTATGCCCTAGATTTCACATTATTTGTTGAAACATACTTTTCAAGGTGTCGTGATTTAAGAAGCATTTCATAGAAGATTATACAGATGTAACAATGGATCAGATGCTCACCTAAGACTTTCAAATGCATATTATTTTTGCCTTCATCAGTTTAATGCCTTCATTAATTCAGTAAATAAATAAGCAATCAGACATAAAATGATAAAATGTCACTTAGCGAATCAGGCTATAAACAGAAAAAAACAACATGGGAAGGAGAGTAGAAAGAGAGAAGTGTGTGTGTACATGCACACATGCTGGTGTGTATTTGCATATGAGCAAATATGTTCTCTGATTTTTAAATAGAGTGCTCAGGGAGGACTACATTATAACAGTAGTATCACCAAACTGTAAAGGGAAAACAGGACTATTTAACTCACTGTAGAGAAGTAATTAGTAGCTATTTGGGAAAAACAAGTGAAGTTGAGCTGATCTACATACCAGACAGGAACATTATATGTTAATGGATAAAAAATGAAATGTAACCCCCCCCAAAAAAAAACAACTAAGCCATAACAATGAAGAAAATACAGATAACTATCTGGCTGACCACTGAGGGGAAAGGAATGTTCTAAATGTTAAAGTAATGGAAAAATTACAAAGCAAAGGAATTGACAAAGCAAGGGTTTGACTGCATAAATATAAAATCTTCCATATGTTAAAAACATCAAAAGATGAATTAAAAGGTAAACCAAACAACAGGTTGTAAAAAATACTAACCATCTAAAATGGAACAAAAGGCATAAAAATAGTTCGTACACATGGAAAGAAAAATAGCTAAAAAACATGACTAATATTTTGCTTTCTTTATACCAATAGAAATGCAGGTTAAAAAAACTATGGTATACATTGTACTAATTTGAATATCTAATGCAATTTAAAGAATGAGAATGCTTAATGCTTCCTTGGTTGTGGTTGGTATATACCATCTTGCACTGTTTAGTAGGTACGAATTATTACAACATTTCTGGAGTGCTATTTGGCAGTATGTATTTATCATGTTTAAAATGTATTCTTTGTATTGTCATGTAGTTGATGTCAAGAAAATAATAAGAAATATAGGTAAGTAATAATAGCTACCCTTAAATTGATATTTATTATTCTCCAGATACTTTGTAGTAATTCATGGAACTGTCTCACCAGCTCTGGATGGTAATATTATTATTCCCTTTCATGGATAAACAAATTAAGGAATAAAGGATAAGTTACTTGCTTAACATTATTCAGCTGCTAAAGAGTTCAATGAGAATTTAAATCTAGCCAGTCTGGCAATAGACACCCCGACTGACTCACATGCGAAGGTGGTTATGGGGGTTATTTATAATAAAATGCATGCTATAAATTATAATTTACCCATGTGAAGGAATATTATATGACACTTAAAATGATGATAACAAAGATTTTTGTAATGAGGAAAAATGAAGTTGGGAATGCAGTATATGAAATTATTTAAGCAGCATCTTCGATATTTGAAAATATATAAAGTTCAAGAAAACATTCTAAAATATTATACATGTTGATATTATTTTCTATCTTCACTTTATATATTTGCTATAATTGGCATATATTACTTTAGATATTAGAAAATTTTTCAAAATAAGGAAAGAAGAAAGAAATTAAAATATTATGTAAAGGGGAAATGTTATCAATATCAAACATAACACTAAAAAATCCTCAGAATTTCTACATGCAAAAAATTTAATATTTTTATTTCTAACATATACTTTATAATTAAGGTATCTTATATTTTTTAAAATAGCTTTTCTTTTAGAAATAAATGTCATAATATCTTAATCTTTTAAATCCACAATAAGTATTTATTGTCTCTCCATTTCCCTAAAATAAACACAAACGGGCATGTGCGGAGTCATGCACACATATCCACACACCTATTTCTCATTAAGAAGTATTGATGAGCATTTACTAAGTGCTAAGCATTGTGCTGAACTTTAGTGATGCAGTTATGCAAAAAGTATACTTAGTTCTTAACTTATGAAACTTACATTCTGAAGCAAGAAGATGGATGAGAAATAATTACTGGATCTCTCTCTCCCTCCATCCCTCCCACAGGAGTCTGTCAAACATATCTCAGTATATTGCAGACTGTTTATTCATAGAATAATGATTTTCTACAAATACTGTTGTCCTCAACTTTGTTCTTGGAGGCAAGATTTAGTAGACAAGGCCTAAAATACACCTGGCTCTCTTGCATTAGAAAACTGCATTACTAGGAATTTCTTCTGGATGCTGAAATTCATTACCTTGAAATTTTACTAATTGTACTTGGCTGAAAGTTTCAAGAAGAACTGGTGACTACATTAAGTGATATGCAAATATCCTGTACTATTTCTGAAAAATATCTTGTACCATTTCTTCTGTGTGCCAGAAGACTTTTAAAACATCTTCGTAAGACAGGTATACTTTTATCTGAAAGTTTTAGCTGAATCTGTCTTGTTCTGTTTTCCAGAAAAGCTTGTAGAAGTAGAATCCTAAATATGCACTGTGGACAAGTACCCCTGACACTTTTGGTACTTATGTTTATGAACACCTCAGGTAAGTAATATTCACAAACATATGCCTTTGGTAGTCTAGAGGGAATATCAAGATTTTTTTAATGTGGAAGTGGCCACTGAAGTTGCTGAATTTATTAAAATTAGTGATTTTAAATTAACTTTAGAAGATTACCATATTTTGGGTGTCTCTGGCATGGAGAATAAAAATTCATAGTGATGAGATCAAATAATGAATCACATGGGCTTACTGAATTGGAAAAGATTTGGCCTTCTGGGTTTATGTAGAGAAAGTAGGGTGTAAAAACTTATATCCTGAAATAAATTACATTTGTCTCAGATGAAAATCTGCTTTATGTTGTTTAAAACCAAATAGGTGACCATTGTCTTTATTATTGATTTTTAGAAAATTTTACACACGTTATTTCCTTCCCAAAATGAAGGCAAAGATCCCTTTTAATTCATGGAATGCAGGGCAGGATGTAAGTGGAAATACCTTGTAGATCTTAAGAAAAAATTTAGAGTTAGAAAAACTACACTTCTTAGGGTAGGGAAGACCAAAAGGTTTTATAGCAGGGTCAAATACCAGTTTTAACTTATTAGCAGTGACTACTTGGTGACTTTTATTGAGAAAAATTTTGAAGCCTCATCAGGATTCTTTTGAGTAGAGTTCTATGATCGATTAGCAAGGTTTTTTATTCTGGCTTTTGAAGAGAAGGTAGGGGAACAAATACTGATTTGCCTGATTTTATTATCTAGGAGAAGGAAACACATATCCTCTACTTCAAGAATGGCTGTTGAGAGGGTGAAGTGAAGCTATTAATATTTTCAAGTACTAATACAGGTTCAATTTGGGGATATATTACTTAAATGGATCTATGTATTGTTGAGATCCACACAATGCAATACTACCCAGCTATTAAAGGAAGGAGGTAGATTTGCTCTTCAGAATGATATGTAATGATCTGTCAGAAACTGTTGAGTGCAAAAGCAAGGTGTAGGACAGTGTGCATCGTGGATCCTCCACTCTGTAGACATACACCAATAACCTTGCTCCTAGGTTATAATAAAAACATGTTTCAGGCTCAGAAATAGCCATACAATCTATTTCATTAGGTTGCTAAGGCCCCAGCTCTCTGTTCTTTAGATGTTTGAAGAGCACCTTCCATGTAGGGCTTACTCTAGGACAGGGGTCCCCAACCTCTGGGCTGTATGCACCTAGTACTGGTTCAGCCCTGTTAGGAGCCAGGCTGCACAGCAGGAGGTGAGCTTGAATGTAATGTGCTTGCATCATTCCAAAACCATCACTCCACCCTGGTTCGTGAAAAAGTTTCTTCCAGAAAACTGGTCCCTGGTGCCAAAACCATTGGGGACTGCTATTCTAGGAAGCCATGACCATATTCTACATGTAGGGTTCATTTAACCCAGTTAAAGCTAGATGACAACATCCCGTTATGTCCAAACTCAAGACAATTTGTGGGAGTGTCTTTTGTATAAATTCCATAGACCTTGAACTCAACTTATTTCTACAATAAAAACCACTTTTTATTGACTTTTAAGTCAACTTATTTCTATAATAAAAACCACTTTTATTGACTTTTTATTGATTTTTTAGTCAAAAAATCTTGTAATGTTAAACATGAGTTGATATCTGCAGCCATTAGCTGCCCGAGGAATGGGAATTTTCAATTGACAATCATCAACCCCTGAAGAGAATGTATTCTAGGTTAAGCTTCTTCAAATGATAATTACCTCTAAAGAGAAATGAGTCATGTATATATCTATCAAAAACATAGGATGCCTATGTTATAGGAGCTTTTTAAAGATTTGCCAAGGCCTGGAAATAACCCAATGTTCAGCATCAATAGAATGGATAAAGAGTCAAATGCCAGGACAATTGATACTAGAATATGTAACTATGAAAAAAAGAACAAATCATTGCTACATATAGCCACATTGATGCCTACATAAACATAATGATACATGAAAGAATCCAGAGCATGTATTCTATGGTGTGCTTACTTTTTTAAATGCATATATGTATCTCTAAAACAGAAAAAATTAAACTGTTAATAGTCTGCCATCTCTTTGGATGTCAAAACTAACACCCACATTTATACAAGTATCACACCTTCTATGTTGAAGTACTGAAATGTAAAATAAAGATTCTATAACAAACACCACACATAAGGTTCACCCCCCTGTGCTTTGAGAATAATAGATTTAAATGTTAACATTCATGTATTGAAAGAAGGCTTCTACCATCTGAACCACTTCCTCTTTACATTGTGGTTAACAACATTGAGATAAAACCTGACTGTTTCTTTCAGAAATAAACCCTAACTATGGAAAAGACAGTTTTTCCATGCCCTCAGGGAAATGCTCTACTCAATTTAAGGATTATCATTCTCAAAATGAGTTTAAAGGGCATCCTGGAGCCACCCAAGGAAAGAATGTAGAAAAGGTCCATTTATTTATGCTGACCTTGAACTATCAGAAATACAAAAGGAGGGAAATGATGACCCTGTGTAACTGAAGAAATCTGATAAATTTTGAAATCCAGAGTTCCTGGGTTAGCTGAGAGACAGAGGTTGGGGTGGGGGAGGGGGAGAGAGAGAGAGAGAGACTGGAGCTCAAAGAGGGGGAGTGACATAACCAAGTTTGGAGTGATATGAATCAATTCTTGATTAGCTACATGGTAGAGAGATAGTAAATTTGCATGCACTCTAAGATACATGGAAACATCTTTAACCACCTCTATACCTACCTGGGGAATAGATGACTGGGTAGACTGTCTGAGTGCAAGATCGGTAAGACTTCTTTTTTTTTCATTATATTTTATTTATTTATCTTTAGAGGTAAAGGGAAGGAGAGAGGGAGAGAAATATCAATGTATGGTTGCCTCTTGTGTGTCCCCTGCTGGGAACTGGCCTGCAACCCAGGCTTGTGCCCTGACTGGGAATTGAACCATGATACTCTGGTTCGCAGGCCTGCGCTCAATCCACTGAGCTACACCAGCCAGGGCAAGATCGGTAAGACTTCTGATAATGCAAATGAAAAGCTTCAAAGTCTCTAGGTTTTTTTATTTCTTTTCTGTGGACACTCCTCTGCTAGGGATGTTTTTGGAAAGGCATATCAACACTGTGACTTTTGAGGCTTCCCTTATAAGGAAGTTGTCATGTGTAACATTTTCTTTTAAAAGATTACACATTTTATCTGTCTTCTAGCTATGGTAGATTGAGTTTAGGAGAAGCTGTTGGAAGCTTTGTCCTCATTCTTCATTTATGTTCAGAAAGTGCTATAGTGTTGGAAAATTGTCTATGTCACTATGTGTTTGATTTTTTTCTTTTATTGTTCTAATCTTTCAAGAAACCTGTACTCTACGTCCTCATATTACTGCTGTTGAAGGGGAACCATTCTATTTGAAATATTGCTTATCTTCATCTGAGCATGAGAATGAGCCAGCCACCATAAAGTGGTACAAAAGCAATGAATCACATGGACTTGTTGAGCTAAGCTCAAGCAGTTCACCCAGAATTACTTTGCATGATTATGTTTTGGAGTTTTGGCCCGTTCAGTTGGATGACAGTGGATCTTACTTTTTTCAAACAGGGTAAGTGAACTTTCTCTTTCTGTTAGAATATTTTAAAGCACTCCACAACATTGTTCAGCAAATCAAGAATACAGTAATCTGGAAGGTAAAATAATCCATAAATTTTTTCTCCCCAACCTGAAATAAATACTTCATTATTGAAAAACTAAATTAAATGTTACCCCTGTGTTTATATTTTTAGTGATTTTAATGAAATGAAAATAATGAAAGAAGGTTACCTTTAAATGATTTTCTTTTAGGAGATTCTTACCAAAGATAAGTGAAGATGAAATGAAATTCATTTTAAAATCCAGCTGTTCCTGTTGTCTAACACTGCTGGTCAAGTGAAACAAATGGCTAGGACTTCATGATGTGAACATGTAGTGAAGGGGGGCATGTCTACTTCCTGGCTGGTGCCCTCAGGCTGGACAGCGGGGTTGGAAGTGGTGTGGATACATCTTAGTCTAGCTTTCAAGAGTTTGTTGAGAGCCAGATGGCAGTACTAGTGAAGGATTTGTATGTGTGGCAGCCTGTATTAAAGCTATAACCAGAGCCAGCGAGAGAGGGAAGCACAAAGTTTATTTGTGCAGTCTTCTCATGACAACCCAAGACTGTCAGTACACCCAGAATCAGAGTCATAGTTCCATGGAATGAGAACTACTAACTAAATGTGTCAGTTATTATTACTGAACTTGTTTTTTTCAAAATTTTAATTGTTGTTCAAGTACAATTTTTTGCCTTTTCTTGGGGTCTTTTTATATTTTCTATGATGAAATGGGGAAAGAGTAACTTGGAGAAGGAATTTTCTATGTGATGGACTGTTAGCAAGAACATAGATGACAGGGCTATCTGGTACTTTTGTGATATTATATATGTACTTATGTATCTGTGCATGTATGTATTTTATAGAGATTTGAAACCAACTTGTAGAAAATAGCTCAGGTTCAAGAGAATGGTTATAATGCCATTTAGTAGGTTTTTTCATGAGCACCTCTGAAGTGAGTTCTGATCATTATCAACAGTACCGTTGAAAGTAAAGTGAGATATCATAGTGAAACCTTAATATCACTCTTATGGTTTTACTGAATGAGGTCACTTTGGTTTGTTTTTATATATAGGAACCCCCAGGTGTCAGAAAGAAAATCAAGAACTCTTTTTTTAATTAATGAATTTTATAATGAATTTTTTAGGAGAGATGATTCCAGAAATGAAGCACAACTGAGTCTTTTTACAGTACGATAGAATGAATATTTGCTTTGGGGTAGAGAGAAAGAACCTCTCCCTAATCTTGATTGAAAAAAGACATGATGTAAGTGAACATAGTATTCTGGACAGGGTAGAGACAGCAAACTGAGGGGAAGAGCCAGGCATCTACTGACGTTGCTTGCAGACAGATAGGGGATCATGTTATAGAAGTAGGTTATCAGAGAGGTGTGCAGGAACAAGGAAGAGGCTGGGAGAGGAGGGGAAAACCAACATGTCTCACAGTGGCTAAGATGATAAACTCTGAAGGGCATTGGGGACTGATGAATAAGATTAGACTAAAGTAATGATGGAAGGAGGATCCTTAACAATGGTTTAAAAAAAAGGCAGCCTGCATGAGAGCAGGTTGTTTTGGACACCTGGGAACCTTGAAGATACAGACTTTTAAAAATATAGTGCAACTGGTGAACAGTGCCCTGTGTTTGTGTGTATGTGTGTACATATGTGTCTGTGTGCACTAATTTAGGTGAGCAAGGCTTTGTAGTTTTGTGTAGGATTCATCAACGACCAGACCCTACTCCTGGAATTGTCTCCTTAGAACCTATTCCCTTAATTTTTCAGGATTTTATTGCAGGGATCAGGTATCTCTGGAGACAAACACACTAATCCTGTAGAGAAAAATCACTTTGTCAGATCAAAGTTTAAGGATGAAATCCACTAAGAAGGTAGTGGATACAGGAGAGTTTTTGATGAAAAGGTAAAGAAATAAAGGTGAGGGGAAAAAAGCACCTGTGAAGCCTTTATCAGGTTCTAGGATGATAAGCACCAACGTTGACTTAGTAAGGGGTCTCAGAAGAGTGGGCTAGAGTTTCTTAAATCCCTTCTATGTGTCATCAGGTGTGGTTCTTGCAACCAGGATGACTGGCCCTGACAGGGATGTGGATGGTCACTGCTTTGGGTCCATTGGCCTTAGCTTCACACCAACCTTTGAGATCCTCCTAGCGCACAGTGTGATGCTTTTTTCAGCATTCTGGGGCAGTGCCTTGGATGTGGAGACATTCTTCCAGTTAGTACTTGTTGAGTGTTAGGAGTCAGGATTGCAGAGGTAGAAAGCAAGAAGGCCCAATAAGTTGGGAATATGCATGCACCTTGTTCCTTGTAAACAAAGAGACTGGAATATATATCTTTTTCCAGTACAGTGAGGCCCACGTCAGAGAAAAGCATTACAGTGTTTAATATCTTTAAACCTTTATTTCATAGAAATGATACCCATGAATGGAGATTAAATGTCATCAGAAGAAGTAAACACAGATGTTTTGCTGAAAAACAAGTAATTAGTATAACTGTGGAAGTTAAACAAGCTTTGCAAATACCCTGCGATGAACATAGTTACTATAAAAAACTAGTCAACAGAACATTGTTATATAAGGTAATGCTTTTAAAATATTATAACTTAAGACTTGGTAGAAAAGATAAAATTTTAGAATGAGGGTCTGGTGGTTATGGAGAATTTTGTTCTTACAACATATAAGTTGTGTGACCTCACACAGCCAGTGGCCCTCTCTGAGGTGGGTTGCTATAAGGAGTTCCTGTACACAAGGTATGGAACACACAATATTAATGTTCCATAAATGATAATGGCTTCCTCTCTTTTGTCCTTCCTTCATTTTTCTTCTTTTTTAATAAATTAATTTTTAAGAATACTAATTTAAAATTTTTCATTTTCTTCTACCACATATATTTAAAATTTTTAATTCTATTATATGTATTTATTATTATACTACTTCATTTTATAAAATTGGAAGATAGAAAAGTGAATAATGAAGATGGAAATCATAATCTCACCAGCCAGATACTGTTCTTTTTTTTCTACATAAACATCTACTTTTAAAAAGTGGTATTATTTATATACTCTGGTTTCTCTTCAGATTGTATAAATCTTTTGCGTTTTACTAAAAAGTGGTATTATTTAATGGCTTATATTTTTTCTTTATTCACTAAAAATTTTATTTTGATCATTCCTCAACATCTTTAAACATTCATTCAACTGTGGGATTCCATTGTGTATATACTTGTATCTGACTAATCCCCTGTCATTGAACATTTGTTAGTTTCTGCTTTTGACTATTATTTATAAGGCTAAAATTCTTAGCATATACATATATGATTTTATCCTCTAACCACATCCCTAAAAGTAGAATTATTGGATTGAAGACTATGAGCAAGTTTATGGCTTTTGCTACACATCGAACTCCTTTCTAGAAGTTGACCAGTTTAAAGCCCTCTTTCCCTATGGAGCCACAACACTGGAAGGAATACTGTAGAACATGCAAAACTTCTGTAACCCTTAGTATGTTTCCCCATATTTCTTTTCTTAATAATAAATTAAACATTTTTATATATTTGTTGCCTCTTGATATTACTTTTTTGTGGATTGTGTACTTTGTCTATTTTCTTCTGTTGATGTACCTTTTATTTGTTTTGTAAGAGCTCTATTAGACAATACTATAAAGATTGTACATACATATTTATAATATATACACACTCTATATAATATGTAATACAATACATAATAATATGTAACATATTATTATAATATACACATATGCATACATATAGTCATGTGTATATTATACATGTGCACATATATACTCATGTATAATATATGCACATGCATTTATACAATCGCATGTATGTCACATATAAACATGCATTTATATAGATATGCACATACATTTATACACACATGTATATTACATATACACATGCATATATACTCACATGTATATTATATATGCAAGCATTTATACACTCAATGTATACAAATATAATATATAAAATATATAACTAATATGCATGTACTCACACAACACAATTTATATTCTTCCCTTAGAAGAACAAACCTGAAAAACATGACTTAGTTGTAGAAACTTTGAAGAGCTATGAAAGAGGGTGGTCTGAACAGAACACCTTGGAAAAGTTGAAACTCTGTTCCTTTTGCTTGAATACTGTTTACTTGTGATTTTTCAAGGACCACTGTTATACAAAATTTTCTAAATGTCTGAGTCTGTCCCCAGTTGACTTGACTCAATTTCCTGTCAAAGCTGTAAATGTTTGACAGTATATATAAATTTGAGGTCATTGTACCGGGTTTTAAGAAATCCCAACATGCAGGTAGTTTAATTTACAGAATGAATGCATAGAGGATATTTTTAGCTAGAGAATTGACCTCAGGATTAAGTATTTATAGCCTGTTTACAGATCATGATCTACCTGAGAAGAAGGGAGCAAGAAAACTAAATCAGTAAACAATTGATTGGAAAAATGGAGTCTTTGATATTTTAATGGCTTGGAAAAATTAGTTTGAGTTTATAGAAATTTGGGGTATACAGAAACAATTTACTGATATGAGGTACACATGTGGAAGCTTCACAAGCCCATTCTAAACAACCTCAAGGCCTGGCTCCTGTTGCTACCAGCTATGGCAGATTTAAGAGGGAATTCTGTGGGCAATAGTTTCTCCTCATTTGGTGGTTGCAGGAATAATGGCATCTCATTAGGATTAGCAGTTCATTTCCCATTTTCCCCATCTGGTTCTTAGATTGCTTCATAACTCTGTGGGTGACTGATGGCTGGATTGAAGAAAGTGCCTTTTTTGTTTTTATCAATTCCTGTGACTTAGGTGAAAATTTGTGAGAGAGATGTTTATGCATCTATATATTTGAGTATTCTTGATGCATTTCTAGTCAATCCACTGTCTTCTGGTAGAATACATCATGTGAGTGAGTAGCCTGCTAAGTACACAGTTCTGGGATTAACTCTGGTCTCATAGTCACCACCCACCTCCAGGATAGCATTAGATTGAAAGTGTTATGAAATGGAATTGTGTAGAAAGTTTTGACCCAAGCAGGGATTTTTTTTTGTAGTATGTTGTTTTCTTTCTTCCTCTCCCTCTGTCCTTTTTTATTTCACTTTCTCCCTTCATCTCTCTCTTCTTGTCCCTGACTCCCTTTTTTCACTCTTCCTTCTCTCTCTCCCTTTCCCCCTCCCTTTCTCTCTGTAAAAAAGAGTTTAAAATAAAATAATGAAAGCAGCAATAGTGTCCCCAACATTCCACTTCCCATCATGTAATATTAACAATGATAGTGATCATAACAGTAATGGGACTCTATTTTGTTTTTCTAGTAAAGGCAGTGCCAAATCACTGGGACATTTACTCAGAAATTGCTGGTTTTTTAGTTTCCCTTTTTTCTCTGAAGATCTTTAACTATAAAATTTAGATTATTGTAAATCTAAATACTTCTTTTACTTAAAATATTTTAACTTTTTTTTAAATAAAACAGAACTGTGAAAAGATAGAGAAGAATATAAACTCATCCTTTCGGAAGAATGCAGAGCTCAATGATCAGGGATATTACACCTGCATGTTTTTCCTTTATCATAATGGAAAATTATTTAATGTCACCAACACCTTCAATATAACAATAGTTGGAGGTAAGAGAAATTTTAGAATTTGGGTGAAACAAATGTATCTTAGTAAAACAGAATATTTTCTTATAAAGTAGTACAGGAAGCCAGAGGCAACTTAGTTGGAGTTGGGACCACATTATTAGTTCAAATATAAGGGTCAAAACCATTTTGGCATTATTAACTATGCTTAAAGATTTTTTGGGGGGTGGGCAGTAATTAAAAGTCCATAAAGATGAACCTCCCATGAATCAGCTATCTTATTTGGTATTTGAGTATATTGTGGGGGCATTTGCTATTAAGCATATGCTTTCACTCAATAAATATTTATGGAAAATGTCTGTATATAATAAACTACTGAACACTGGAAGGGAAAGGAAGCAGGGAAATATGAAATAAAGTAAGTAATACACTCTCCTCAAAGAATTTGATTATAGTCAGAAGAGGTGATAAGCCACATAGAGGTACCATAGTACAGTTGACCCTTGAACCACACAGGGGTTAAGGATGCTGGTTGCTTTACCTCGCCACTCCCTAACACACTGTCAAAAATCTGGGTATAGTTTTTGGTTTTCCCCAAACTTGACTATTAATAGTTAGCTCTTGATAAGAAGCCTTACTGATAACATTTATTTTTGTAAGTTATATGCATTTTCTCTATTCTTATAATGAAGTAAGGTACAGAAAAATGTTATTAAGAAAATTATAAAGAAGAGGAAATACATTTATAGCAGTTATTGAAAAAAGTCTGCATATAAGTGGTCCTGTGCAGTTCAAATCTGTGTTTATGAACCTGGAGTCATCTGTGAGGGAGTCCAGTATGAGAACAGGTGCAGGAGGCTCTGTCCAACCTGGGTCTTAGAGACTGACCATGGTGGATGGCAGGAAGACATGCTTGGGACAGAGGGCTCTGAAAAGAGAATGTTATTGGCATGAGTGTGGTGGTGAAAAGGGACTGTATATTTTGGGTGGACAGCTATTAATCTGGTTTGTCATGAGCCCAGACTATATGTAATGGAAAAACTGAAGCCGGGTTTCAGAGTGATGGAGACCCTAGAGGTAATTTAATTAAACTTCACTCAGTGAAGATTTCCTTCATATGGCATCACTGGATCATGCAATCACTTTTTGGGAACTACCATAGAAGTCACCAAATGACACATGTCCAGATTTTAACATTTGATCATTAAGAGTCATTTTCCCCATTGAGTCCAGTATGCCTTCATGAAGTTTCTTTTTGGTTACTGTATAGATTAAGCCTGGTCTGCTCTTAAAATGACAACTCCTTCAAGTATTTGAAGATAGCTTATTTATCCTCAACTTTCTTTTCCACAATCTAGTAAAACTCTTGTGAAGACTCATTCAAAAAAATAGTGCGCTCACAGTTACTAGAGCTACTTTGCTTTGGCATTATTTTTCCTGTTCATTTTATCCATCCACATACATAGCTAGTCCATATATTTCTAATGGATAAATTACAAAAAACAGTGTCTTCAAAAACACAAATTTATTATTTAATGGTTCTGAGGGTTGGAAGTCTGATAATATGTTCTCTGGGTTAAAATTGAGGTTTCAGCAGGATTGCATTTCTTCTGGAGATTTTAGAAGAAAATAGGTTTCCTTGTCTTTTCCAGCTTCTAGGGGCCACCTGCATTCAGTTGCTTCTGCCACTTTGAAGATGGCTTTTCCATTTTCAAAGCCAAGAGTGTAACATCTTCAGATTTCTCTCTTACCTTTGCTTCCAGCGATTACATTTCCTTTTCTTACTGTGATTCATCTTCTTCCCTCTTATGAAGACTGGAATAATCACATGGGTGTTGGGAACTTCCCTGCCTGGTTTCAGAAGCTGTAACCCTCCATTGCTAAGGTGGAGTAAAAAGGCTTTGGGGACATCAGCCACTAAGGAGACAAAAACTTATTCTTTCTCTCATATCCAGCCCCGTGCAAGAACAGGAGGTTCCCTGGGGTGATCAGACCTAAGAAAGAATGCATAAAATTCTATGAAACCTGCTTTGCTAAGAATATCCTCAATTTAAGTGTTAAGGATCCAAGAATAAAATGAGTTTGTTTCAATAGGTTTTATGGCCCTTTATCGACACTCTATCTATCTGACCCTGACCCTGACTCAGAATAAGCCCTTAAAGTTCTTTGAATGTTATCTATTCCTTGATCTTTACTGTCTGACAATGATTGATGAGCAATTATGAACTTTATATGTACTCCCTGTATTTCTATGCAAACTAAACCCAATAAAAGCCCATTGAGAGGCTCCAGGCCTTTCTCCTCTGAGAGACTTGTCAGCTTTTACTCCCCAAGCAAATCATGTCTTGGTAGACTTATTTTCATCTGCAACAGCTGGGGGTGCTCTGCGGGATGGATCTCCCCACATATTGGGCCCACCTAGATAATCCTTGATACTTTCCTAATTCAAAAATCTTTAATTTGGTCATATTGCAAGGTCACTTTTGCCATGTGAAGTATAACATTCACAAGATCTGGGGATTAGAATATGAATGACTTTTTCTGGGGGAGGTGTGCATTTTTCTGCCTACTATAACCCATAATCTAGGAATCCCATAGCTAAATTCTGAAACTCAAATATCTTATGTGTTGTGATATGTACACATGCACACATCTCACATCTCCTGAATTCTTCCATTTTACATTCATATATATGAAAAATATATTTATATAAACACATAAATATGAAACTATATTTTCATATATCTTTTTCATATGTTCATATGTGCATATGAATATATATTCTTTAATCTCATGTAAATCTCTGGTTTCCTGACACTTCTACTGCCAACACTCTTACCCCATCTGTCTTTTCTTTTTGCCCATCAGCTTCTCTCTTGTTTCTCCCTGGAAGGAATAAGAACATTCATTATCAAAAGAACACTTGCTATAGGCCAAAAACTGTACCAAATACTTCAATTGAATCGTTTCATACAATCTTCACTACAGCCCTGTGAGCTTGTGAGTTTGGGTGAATTAAATGTTTATCTCTGTCTCAGATACCTCAAGTAAAATAGAAAAGTACAGGTCCCACCTTCTTTGGGCTGCTTGCACACTGAGTGAGTAAATGTGTATATAGCATTGAGAACAGTGCCAGGGACAGGGCAAGCTTGACTGTTATCATGGTCTCCTATTGCCTCAAGTTCCCACCCCCTGTTATATGTGCTATTTTTCTGCCTTAATTACCCATATTATTTATTTTGTCTTCTTGGAGGATGCCAACTGTGTCTTTCAGGACTCAGCTCAAATGTCTCTCCTCCTCTGTGTTCCCATGGCTTTTGTTCATATTTCTGATTGCTGTCAGAATTTGGGTCATGTGTCTATCTCTGACAGTAGATTTCAAAGCTCTTGGAAAGAAGGGATTGAACTGAATTCTCTTCCTCATTTTGCAACTCCCATAGTTGTGCCTGGCACTTGGTACATGGTAAGTGCTCATTACATGTCTGTTGAGTGAATTACTGGGCCAGCAATTCTTTCTTCCATTGTGCCTCATTTGACAGGAACTCTAGACTTTTAACAACCCTGTCCATTTCCCTTTGGATTTAGTGAAGTTTCCATCATTCTTTTAAACTGTAGAGTTTAGAGTCGAAGTCAATAATTAAGAGGTATCATGGCCTATGCTGAGGACAATGGGACTCTGAGCTTGCACAACATACTCTATGTTGTGTCTTTATTATAGTTCATCTATGGCTATGGATGTGGATCTCTCAGCTACCATGTGGTAAACACAATTGCCTCATATCACAGTTCTCTTGACTCTCTCCTGGCATCTTCATTTCTTAATCTCCTCTGGTCTATCTGGTGATGTCTCCTTCTACTGCTGACAAATTGTGTGCTTTAACTTAGAAGTATACACTGAGGTTATTTTCCTCCTTCTCTTACCTTGAATAGGATTGTAGCCTTCAATTTACACCAACCTTACAAATGTGGTGCTGCTCTGGGTTCTCAATGATACATTTCAAGTTTTAGAGATGGATCCGTAGGAAGATAATCAGTAGCAATTTTCCTTATTACACAAAACTATTTTTTCTTTTCCTATTCCTCAATAGTCTCAGACCTGAGCCAGTTGTTTGAATCCATTTCACTTCTTCCTGCCTGCCTACCTGAGTTTCAGACTTGCCCAGTGAGTCTGGATCTGAAAGGAACTGGGACATGATGAGGTTTCACTGCCCTAGTTTCATTCTCCAGTTCTTACCCACACAGTGCTCCACTCCCTTTTCCACTCTCTACTTAGTAGCCCTGCACTTTCTGAGGGAGTTAGGTGTGGGTGCCATAGGAGAGCTCCTGAGCCATGTTTTATTCCTCACAATCAGGCATATTCTCCTTGTTCAGCACCTGCAAGCCCCATGAAGACTGCTCTGGACATTAGTTATAAATGTCCCCCCAAAACCAGTTGTACTAGCAGGGAGAGTCCAGGTCATGGAAAAAGTTGCCAGTGATGATAATAGGAGCAACACAAACTTGAATATGTATCAGTGTTAATGTATGACCACACTGGCTTTCAGTGCTGTGGAATTACTCGCCACCTTTGTACAGTTTGTATTATAGCACTCAGTGATGGGCTGTTGGGAGATTATTTACCTGCTAAGCATTATGAGATGGGGGCAAAGGTGCAAAATATTTATGAACGTCAAGTTGGGGGTCAAAAGTCACTGAGGAAGAAAAATAGAGCTGAGCCTGAAGTTGTGGGCCCTACCCTAACAGGGCTAGGACTAAGGTGAGGCATCCAGAGCACACAATCGAAGGGCCCTCCTCTCAGTGTTCTGCGATGGGAGGGTTGTCATCTGAGAATGAGTCCTTTGGCTACCCCATATGAGTTTTATTCTTGCACCCAAGAGTTGAGGCAGGCATATGGGAGGAATAAGGCAGAATAGAAAGGCACTTCCCAGTGACTTCGCATCTTCTAAGTCCTGCAAGTTTGGTCATCTCCCTGGATGAATGTCTTCCTCTCTCTTTTAGCTGTGGTGAGCAGAAGCCGCAGATTGGAAATGAGGGAAAACTAAATTCAATGTGCTTTTTTTAGCAGTATAAACTTGGAAGTTGATGGAAAGTGAAACAACAAACAATATTCACTGCAACCATTATGTAAGGCAAATATGACTGAAATGGATATAAAGTGATGACTGTTAGAATCTTCATTACATGGAATAAGCATATTATAACAAGTGCATGTCTTAGAGAAGCTCAGTGTAATACTAATGCAATTTTCTTTTTTTCACTTTTAGATCATAGTAATATAATTCCAGTTCTTTTTGGACCAAAGCTGAAACACATTGGAGTGGAATTAGGTATATTGAGACATACATATTTTCTGCATTTATGAATGGGGGAAAATGGAGCCTGCTAAGGCTAAATTGGATTCATTATTAAGCAATGTTGTGTGCATAACACCTTCCATATTTAGTGAAGAGCATTACAAAGCCAGAAAAGCCTGCCATTGTTTGAATGTTGCCATTTTTATACTGATTAGAATGAACAGTCTAGAAGTGCCTGTGGTTTATAGCTTAGGGTTTTAGTTACGTTGTTTGTGGTTTTTCTCTAATAGTCTCCATGGTCATTTTTGAAAATGAAAACCCAGTAAGAATACTTTGGAGAAGTTATTCAGATTTCTAAGGGTTGAATATTTGATTAATGTATTTACTTTGAATCAATGGACTGAATTAGCTATACAGTCAGTAATTGCCTAGAGAGGTCCTGATGAATCAACATGTTCTTTCAAAAAGAAAAGGAAGGAAGAAAGGAAGAGAAGAAATTTGCTAGAGATTAGGAGGGAGGGGGTAATGGGAAAAAGAAGTGGAACATGTAAGAAGGGCCCATGGACAGGGACAATGTGTGGGAATTGTCAATTAAAAAATTCACATATGTCAAACAAAGTTTTGTGTCAAGTGATTGAAATAATGTTATTGAATTAAATCATCCAGCAACTCTGAGAGTTATTATCTCCACTTTATTATTTAAGTGACTAAAACTCAAAAAGGTTAAGTAATTTTCTAAGATTAAAGCACTGAACAGTGGCAGAAGTGGGATTCAGGTGTCTGTTGATTTTTCCAAAGCCCACACCTTTTGACTGCGGCTGGTCCTAGTTGTTTATGACAGATACACTCAGTGTAGCTTGAATACTTCACCATTTATATTTGTGGTTTTCCTCCTTTCTATTTTTTACTGACTTCTGAACCTATCTATTATTTGTCTCATTTTGGATTTAATTTGCATTTCATTTTTCACTTGTTAACATGGAGAGTTAGGAATAAGATAAAGTTATCTTTTCCTGCAGTATGCGCATTTTAAGTTCCAAATTTTCTTATCACTCCTGTAGCTGTTTGTTTCCCATAAGTGTTGGCACAACATATTTTCACTCCTATTTATTCAAATCATTTTAAAAACTTTCTCTTATGATTTCCTCTTTCATCTACAGATTATTTGTATTTCTTACTGTCCAAATAGTTGGAAGGTTTTTGTAGCTTTTTTTCTGTAATTGATGTCCAGTTTAGTTCTATTATGGTCCAAGATTGTATACTGTATCATTTCAATCTGTTGAAATTTGTAGTAATGTGCTTCAGGATCAGAATATGGTGTATTTGATGAATGTTCCAAGTACATTAGAAAGAAATGTGTATTCTGCAAACTTTGGTTATATTATTCTATAAATGTCAATTAGGTGAAGTACATAAAAGATATTGGTTAAATCATCTATATCCTTACAATCTTTGTTTGCTTTATCTTTTTTAAAAGATAAAACTTTTAAAAGTTTTATTTATTTATAGACAAAGGTGAAAGGAGGGGAAAGAGAGGGAGAGAAACAACATCATATGGGTGCCTCTGGTGTGACTCCTACTGGGGATCTGGCATGCAACCCAGGCATATGTCCTGACTGGGAATTGAACCGGTGACCTTTTGGTTCACAGGCCAGTCCTCAATCCACTGAGCCACACCAGCCAGGGCAGCTTTCTGTATCCATTGTTGAGAGAGATGTTAATATCTAAAACTATGATGGTCAATTTATCTGTATTTCTGTCAAATATTTCTTTATACATGTTTAGGTTATCTTTTTTTTTTTTTTTTAGAATCAACTTTTTTTTTGAGACTCTGGTTTTATTTATTTATTTATTTTTCCACATTTTAAAAAATTTTATTTAGTTATTTTTCAAGTACAGTTTTTGTCTATTTCTCCCATCCCAGCCCCCCAGCCCCGTGCTCCCCACCTCCCTCCCATTTCCACCCCCCTTTAATTTAAGGGGGAAAAAGGGGAGGGATTTGGAGGAACAAATGTTTAGGTTATTTTATGGGCGCACATGAATTGATGCCTGTTGAACTGAGACTTTATCATTATAAAATTCCTGTCTTTATCTATCATTAGACTTCTTCCCTGCCTATTCTGTCGATACTAGATAGACCCACCAGTTTTCTTTTGTTTAGGATTGATTGACATGTTTTATTTTTTATATCCTTTTACTTTTAACATTTATTTACCTTTATATAAAATTCACCTGACATAAACTGCACCTATTTAGATCTATTTATTTATTTCTTTCTAAATTTTTTAATGTTTTAAAAATTATATTTAATTAATTATGTTATTACACTTGTCCCAATTTATCCTCCTTTGCCCCCCTCTACCAAACACCCACCACTCCCTCATGCAATCCTCCCACCATTGTTCATATCCATGGGTCATGTGCATAAGTTCTTCTTTGGCTACTCCATTTCCTATACCATAATTTACATTCCCATGGCTATTCTGTGATTACCTATTTGTACTTCTTAATCCCCTCACCTCGTCACTCCCCCCTCCCATGTGGCAACCATCAAAGCACTCTTTGTATCTATAATTCTGTCTCTGTTCTTCTTGTTTGCTTAGTTTATTTTATATATTCACTTGTTGATAGATATGTATTTATTACCATTTTATTGTTCATTGTTTTGATCTTCTTTTTCTTAAATAAGTCCCTTTAACATTTCCTATAATAATAGTTTGGTGATGATGAAATCCTTTTGTTTTTTCTTGTCTAGGAAGCTCTTTATCTGCCTTTTGATTCTAAATGATAGCTTTGCTAAATAGAGAAATCTTGGCTGTAGGTCCCTGCTTTTCATGACTTTGAATATTTCTTGCCAATCCCTTCTAGCCTACAAAGTTCCTCTTGAGAAATCAGCTGAAAGTATTATGGAAATTCCCCTGTAAGTAGCTAACTTCTTTTCTCTTGCTGCTTTTAAGATTCTTTTTATCTTTAATCTTGGCATTTTAATTATGATGTGTCTTGGAGTAGGCCTCTTTGCATCTTGTTTGGGACTCTCTGTGCTTCCTGGACTTGCATGTATATTTCCTTCACGAAATTGAGGAAATTTTCTTTCACTGTTTTTTCACATAGATTTCCAATTTCTTGCTCCTTCTCTTCTACTGGAACCCCTATGATGCAAATGTTGGTTTGCCTGAAGTTGCCCCAGAGGCTGGTTACATTATCCTTTCTTTTGAGGATCTTTTTTTTTTTCTTGTTCTGATTGATTGTTCCTTATGTTACTCATCATTGATTTGATTCTCAGCTTCATCCACTCTACTGTTGTTTCCTTGTAAATTGTTGTTTATTTCAGTTAGTGTATCCTTCATTTCTGACTGGATTGTTTTTATGCTGTTAAGGTCCTCACTAAGTTCCTTGAGCATTCTTATAAGTGATGTTTTAAACTCTGCATCTGATAGATTGCTTATCTCCATTACATTTAGCTCTTCTTCTGGAGTTTTGATCTGTTCTTTCATTTGGGCCATGCTTCTTTGTCTCCTCATTTTGGCAGCCTCCCTGTGTTTGTTTCTATGTATTAGGTGGAACTTTTATGACTCCATGTCTTGGTAATATGGCCTATTGTAGTAGGTGCCCTGCAGGAAACAGTGGCACAGCCTCCCCTATCACCCAGCTGGGTACGTGAGGTGTGCCCTCTGTGTGAGCTGAGTACACACTCCTCTTGTAGTTGAGCCTTGCTTGCTATTGACAGATCAATGGGAGGGATTTACCCAGGCCAGTCAGCTACAAAGATTGTATGTTACCATTTACCAGTACCCTTTGCTCTCTGTGGAGGATCAGCTATGAAGGGACAGGGTGGTGGTGTTCCAACATGGTCTATAGCTGTCCATTGGTTGTGCTTGGCCTGTACCACGTAGGGCTTCCCAGGTGGTGCAAGCCAAAGTCATCCCCCACCTATGTTTTGTACAGGGGTACCTTGTCTGGCTATAAAGCAATCTGAGATGGCTGCTACTTCTGCTGGGCTTGGAGATTCCCTGGTAATGCCAGGCTGTGAACCTAGGCTGGCTGCTGCTAGTCTTGGGCCTGGGGATCACTGAAGCCAGCAGTTGACTGCTGGAGGGCATTTAGGAAGTTGTACAGCATGAACCAAGACCAGCCATTCATATGGAAAAGCAGTTTTAGTGGGCCCATAAGTTGGGTGGGGTGGAGTCTGTGGAGATCTCCAAAGCAGGTCAGTGTTAGCCAGATTGACGGAATCTCAGATAGGGCAGCATCTTTCCAGATCTGTGGCTTAGTGGCTCTGTAGTGGGATGGTTTAGAAAAGGGACAACAGTCTCTGCTCATCTTGATGCCAGGCACATGAGTATCTCCCAGTATGCTCGTTCCTTTCAAGCTGCTACCCCAGTGCTGAAGCTCAGAGGGAGTGAGTCTGCATGGGTGAGTCTGTGTGTGGGTGATTTAAGAGGAACTTCTTATGGTTCCAGAATTTTCTTCCACTGACTCAATCCCCACTGGGTTTTGCAGCCAGAAGTTATGGAGACTTATCTGCCTGGCACTGGAATCTGGGCTTGCGGTCCTGATGTGGGACTGGAGTTCTCACTCCTGAGATATCCCTCCCAAATTTTTATCCACCACATGTGGGTGTGGGGCCAGCCTGTTTTTTGCATATCAGCATCTCCTACCAGTGAGGGTGGATGTGGTTTATTTAATTCTGTAGTTGTCAGACTTCCATTCAACTTGATTTCTGATGGTTTTGAGTGGTTGTTCTGTATTTTACTTGTAATTTTGATGTGGTTGTGTGAAGAGGCAAGCCATGTCTGTGTATGCAGCCATCTTCACTGAAGTAAGTCTTTTTAAAAATCCAGTCTTTATAGTAGTGTTTAGCTCATTGACATTTGATGAGTTACTGATATAGCTGGTTTGAAGCCTCTCATCTTGCTACCTGTTTTCCTGTATCTCATTTGTTCCTTTAATTCCTCCTTTTTTTGTATTACTATTTTATTTCTTTAATCTGCTTTGTTTTCCTTTTAGCTCTTCCTTTTTGTATCCTTTATTAGTAATTCTCCTTGAGATTACAACATATATTCTTGTCTTACTACAATAAGACAGATGAACCTATTAGTAAACTTCACAAACATGAAAATCTTACAACAGTTTCATTCATCCTCCTACATCATGTTGTGCTATTATTTTATTGCTCTTCTGCATATGCTATAAAACTTATAAGACATTGGCATTATTATCATTATACACAACCAATTTTTATATGTACCCAAATATTAATATTTGTTCTTTCTTGTATTATTTATTTGTTTATGTATTTCCTTGCTTTCATCTGGGATAATTTTTCTTGAGTCTGAAAAATTCCCTTTGGTATTTCTTGTAGTGCAATTATATTGGCAGTTAATTCTTTCAGCTGTTGTTTATCTGGAAATATCTTTATTTGTCAGTTCTAAAGACTATTTTCAATAACTTTGATAAGTATATACAAGCACTTTTTACCCTGAGATTTAAAAATGCTGTGGTTTCCATAGTTTCTGTTGAAAAAGTAGCCTTTAGTAGTTGCTTCACTGATATCTTTTTCTTCTGGTTGCTTTCAAAACTTTTTATTCCTCTTCAATTTTGATGTGTTTAGGTATTATTTTCTCTCATTTATTCTACCTTGGGTTCCACGGGGCTTCTTGAGTCTGAGGGTGGATGCATTTAACCAGTTTTGAGGAAATGATTTGACATTATGTCTGCCTGTTTTTTCTTCCCCTTTCTTCTCTCTTCTTCTGGATCTCCAACTATATGAATTAAATATCACTATGTTCCACATATTTCTTATGCTCTGTTCTGTTTCTTTTTTAATTTTTTCCCTCTGCAGCTTATTTTTGGTCTCAGCCTGCAATAAAGCTAAAAAATTCTGCCTTCCTTTATGCCCAATCTTCTGTTAAAAAACATCAAGTTCTTAAATGTATGTTTATTTTTTAGTTAACAAATGTTCATTTGATTCTATTTAAACAGATGACTGTTCTTTGTGGAAAATGTTCATTTTTTCATCTATTTTCATTAACTTATTTATAATAGTTATTCCAAGCTCTTTATCTGCTAAATCAAATATCCAGATCATCTCTGAGTTTTACTATCTATTTTTGTATTGATTATTGTCTCTGTTTTTGTCTTTGCATATTTCTTAATTTTTTAATTGGTGCCAAGCTTCATGTAACTAAAATAACCAAAGTGATGAAATTTTTATTATACTTTAAAGAGTGTTTGTCTCTCCTTTGTTAGGCAAATAGTGTGAGGGGTAGATAATCCCAATCCATTTAGGAACAGCTAGGTAGTAGCCAGAATGCAGTTTGTTAGAATCAGTCCGCCTTCATCTCTGATAGCTGGAGGGAGACTTCAGTCCTGTGTTTATTGTAGGTCTTTTCCTCTAGTGGGTCTTACTCTCCTGAGTACCATGAAACTGTAGGAGAAAATTGTTAAGCCTTTTAGCAGTCTCCTATACTGTTCAAGTCCTTAGCAATATTCCTGCAAGCCCATGTAGCTCTCAACATTTCTACTTTATTTTCTTTTCAAGATCTCTGTGTTGCTCAAACCAAGTAAAATTCCTCCAGTGAGTAAAACAACTGCTTTCTCAGCTCATCCAGGAAGGCTTTATCCTAACTGCATTTCAGTTCAACTGTCTCTCTTTACTTTCCCTGAACTTTGATGTCTTTAATTTTTGCTAACCTAATTTAAATTTTGTGACTTATCCATTTTTGTTTTTCTAGAAGTTGCAGTGAGAGTATTGGTTTGACACAATCTGCTGAATTATATGTTGAAAAGAGAGTCTGTTGGCCACCCTGAGTTTTAATAATTTATTTAAATATGAACATTTGAAAAGAAGACAACTCATAGTTTGGTGATGCCTATAATTGATACCTGATTCCTCTGCTTTATAAAAATTTTAGTATTTAAAATAAAGCATATCTGTTGCCTTTCTGCAATGTAGCACTACATTAGCATTATATATTAGGTTAACATATATTGATTATATTAATTTAAACCATTCAAGAATCTGAGTTTCTAAAATCAGAACATTGGTTGTCCACTTTTACCTAGGAAAAGATGTACAGCTCAACTGCTCTGCTTTGCTGAATGAAAAGGATCTGATTTATTGGAACATCCAGAAAGAAAATGGAGAGAATCCTAATGTACATGAAGAGAAAGAAATAAGAATTAAGTATGTATATATAACATATCTATCGTAGTATATATAGATATTAGTGTATCATATATACCTGATATAAAAATATCCAGACTCCTGAAGAGCTATGGAATGTTTGGGATAAATGTAAATTATAATTATATTTTATGTTTTATACTTATAATTCCCATATTTAAGTTGATGGATTATGCAGAAATTCATTGCTGAGATCTAGAGAAAGAAAGTCAATGAGGCTCTTTAGCATCACCTTGCAAAAGCAGCTTTTGGTCAGCCAGGGTTGATGAAGAGATGGGGGATTGTACCTAAGCATCTTAAAAGGAGTAGTAACCTAGGCCACAGTTGTTTTGGATTTTGAAAATTCTGGTAAGTGCTTTATTTTTACTAATAAGCCATAATAAAGACCAGGTCAGGAGACCACAACATGTATAAGTTAATCTGGGCCCTTTGTATACAGTAGGCATCCCTACCTGTATTGCCCATGCATTACTGTGAGACCAGCTGGGGGACTATAAGTGCAGAATGATTCATCAGTACATTTCCCTGCAGGTACTTGGGTGCAACCAAGGCCAAAGGCAGGCTGTCTCCTGGTACCAGTCAAGATCTACATCCTTCCCTGACACACATATCATCATTCACGATAAGAAACTTGAGAAATAAGGAAATAGCCATTGAACACAGTAATGTGTGTGTTTTGTGAATTTTATTCAAGGGCAAAGGATACACATGTAGATACTAGTTCCTGCTGTTTAGAAATAGTTTGTAGTTTCTTTTTAGAACATTTTCTACAGTGGCTATCATTTTTAAAGTAATTAAAAGAGCATTGATAAATTTTATCAATTGTGAAAGGGTTTCCAGATATTGCCTCAAGCAAATGCTAACTTAAATTATCAGTCACCTGGAATGACATTGAGCATAGTAATTATTGCAATATCTTCTTGTCAGAATCCATTCATGGAAATTAGAAACACAATAAGAACAGGTAGAAAAAACAAACAGGACAATGATTAGATATAAATATCTAAGAGGCAATGTTGGTGCAAAATGTTCCAAATGACATATATTGATATTTAAATAACCTATATTCTTCCATTAAGGAATGATCAGACTTATTTTAAAAAACACACTAAGTCTGTGGTCATTTAAATGTTTCTGAATAACTTTGGGTCATTACTGTAATTATTGATATACTGATATACTCAGGTTCTAGTAAGCAGTGGTCCTAAGACTTCTATCACCTTAGTTGCACTTTTGAGTTTTTTTCTGCTTTTTTTTTAAAATTTAATTTATTTATCTTTAGAGGGGAAGGGAAGGAGAGAGGGAGAGAAACATCAATGTATGGTTGCCTTTCATGCATCCCCTGCTGGGAACTGGCCTGCAGGAAACCGGCCTGCAACCCGGGTATGTGCCCTGACTGGGAATCGAACCGCGATTGTCTGGTTCGCAGGCCCGCGCTCAGTCCACTGAGCTACACCAGCCAGGGCTTTTTCTGCTTTTTATACTTTGAAAAAATATTCTTCATCATCCTGTTGTCTGCTCTCAGTTCTTGTTGACACTTGTTTATAGGCTGCTCACCCAGGGGCAGGTGCGTGATAATCAGTGCTCAGTGAGTGCTGGTTCCAGCTGAATTGCGTGGCTATCCTGCTCTTGTATCTTCTCCTCAGAATCTGTCTTCCACTGGAGTTATGCATTTTTGAATTTCTGCCTTCTAGTGCTCTATTGTTAATTTTTGGAGAGGTAGAAAACTAACCTACCAAGCTTATTAAAAAATAAAGCCTAAACTAAGCTAAGGAAGTGAGGTGGTCTTTTTTACAGTTGGGAATACAAGGTTTTTGTTGTTTGGGCTTCTCAGTGGCCTTTTGTGCCTCACTTCTGGATTTTTCATTGATGTAAGATAGTTGATATTCTGTATTGATGATTTCTGTACAGAACAGTGTTCTAAAATGTGTTTGATATAGTTGGAGGCTATAGTGGGTATTGTGTCCCAGGTACCAGAGATGCCTGCTTCTAGGGATATCAAGTGATGACTTCATCTGGGAGTACTAGATGACCAAGGGCTGTCAGAACCTGTCACTGCAGGGGAAGCAGATATCATAAGCATTAGTCTTTTACTCAAGGACAAGAAAACTTGGATTCTTTAAGAAGAGAAAGAAAACTTCTCTTCTGCCAGGGGTTATCTCAGTCATTTTTTCACACTCACTGAGCAACTAACTTAATTAGTGTTCCTCATCTTCCTGGGGGGGATATCTGAGGATAATGTTGTTTTAAAACTTATTTTAAATGCTGAACAAAATAAAAGTGATCTTCAGTAATGCAAAAACTTGATATGAATCTGTATCTATGCTGAATAATTTGTAGTCTTGTATTTTTAATTTACCATAATTTCCATTCAAGCACTTTAATTCTAGGTAGTTCATAACCATCCCCAGATGGTTCAGAAGAGCTGTTTCCATTGGCCCCAATGCTTTGTGAAAGAGTGGGAGGTTCCCTGTGGTGATACTTTTAAAGTTCCCACCAGAAAGGAAGAATCTGATGAGTCACAAAGCTGCTGCCTTTGAGTACTTGCACATGTGAAATCTTCTCTCATGGATAATGTTGCTAGCAGTGAACAAAGCCTAGTGCTAAATTATGTTCCTCTCTTACAGGACTTCAGAAGGTAAATGGCATGCTTCAAAAATATTGAGAATTGAAAATATTAATGAAATAAATCTAAATTTTTTATACAATTGCACTGTGGCCAGCGAGGGTGACATAGACACCAAAAGCTTCATCTTGCTAAAAAAAGGTATCAGAAAGTTTTATTTTTGGAAGTCTGTTGAAATTTTGAATGTTGCTGCAGAGAGATTCCTCAAAGATCATCATGTCCTCACTTTATACACCTGAAACCAGGCTTCTGAGAGGTGAACACCTTGTGTGATAGGTGTTCAGGGCAGAACTGGTGCTCAGCCCATGCTAGAACCCCTTGTGCCCAGATTCCAAGCAGAGAATGACAACAGAAAATGTATTCTTTTGCCTTCAATAATATGCCAGTTCCTATGCAGAAACCAGGGCCAGAACAGGGAGGCAGGTGGAGTTTGGAGACAGATGTGCTGGTGTATGAGGGTAATGGGAGGCACTGAGGGCAGCACTAGCACAGCCAGACAATCAGAAGAAAGTGTGCAGTTCAGTGGAGGATAAGGCCAAAGATACTGTGAGTAATTACTACCTTCAGCCTACCTTAGCTGGGCACTGTGCACAGGAAGCCTTTGGGTGTGGCCATTCACTCAATAACAACTAACTGGGGCCTCCCTTCCTCAGGCGAGCCCCTGAACTTGGTAAGTGGAGAACTGATGGCCCTGATCAGAGGACTCTTAAAGTTTTTCAGTGTGCACCTGAGGGAGCTTTCCAAAGTCACCCACCCCCATCCTCCACCAAATAACATAACCAAGATCTTTTAGTGCAGTAGCTGCTTAGAAATGGCTGGGTCTGGACTAAAAAATCCATGCTTTCCTGTTATTAGTATTCATTCACTACTCATTGCTAGGCTAGGGCATCCACCCCTGAATATGCAGGGAAGGGCTAGCATCTGAGAAAGACAGACAGGTATACAGAGACAGAGAAACAGAGATGAAAGAGAGAAAGAGAGGGAGGGAGGGAGAGAGAAAGACGAGTGTATGTGTTAAGTGTTGGCCTTGATGAGAAGCTGAAGAAGTGACTTGACTTTGGGTGATGAATACACAATACAGTGTACAGATGATGTAGTATAGATTTGTGCACCCAAAACCTATATAATTTTATTAACCAAAGACACCCCAGTAAGTTTAATAAAAGAAAAAAATTAAATATAAAATGGGAGTAGAAAGATCATTGCTCCAAAATAAAGGCAGGAATGTAGAATAACTCAATGAAACATGTTGGGTAGACAACATGGGATTAGTGGATTAGTATTAACGGTAAAAACTGACATTTGCAGCATAATGGTGAAATATAATGATAAAACTTATTTGATTAATTATTCTTATTTCATTTTTCTTTCTAGCAGAACTGGTGGATATTCCAGGCCATGTCTTCACTAGAGGAATAATCATAGCTATTTTGATCTCGGGGGTAGCCATGTGCCTAATGATTGTGGCTGTCATTTATAGAGTTGACTTGGTTCTATTTTATAGAGATTTCATGGGAAGAGATGAAACATTAACAGGTAACAAATATCATAATGTTGGGATTTCTTTTCCTATGGTTTCATTAGGAAACCTAATAAAGAAACATTAAACTTCATTTTTTGATTATATTGTTGACCTAATATGTGTTAGAGGTTTTCCATAGGAAAAATTGCTCTGAACATATAATCCATTATGGATGTTGTCTGTGCCATCTTTTTTTGTGTGCTTACTTCTATGCTGCCAAAAATTGTTCTCTGAATGTCTCATGTATTATGTCATGTCCTACTAAATGCTGTATGAGATGCTTGATCCCAGGAACTCAGCGTCATTGTTCACACACCATCTGGGCACCTTATACAGTGGGTTCACTCAATAAAGATAATTTAAATTGAATTAAATTGTATTATGGTTCATTATTTTAATCTGGCAAACGAGGTTGTATGATGTACCTTAAGGAACCCTGAACTAGAAGCCAAATGACCTGGGTTCTAGTCTACTAGATCTGCCTGTTGCCTACTACTCTCGGATCTGGTGAGTCTGTTTCAGTTCCTCTGTCTTTCAAAGGTTCAATATAATTACTGAGTTAAAAAAATCAATCTAATCCACTGTACTTGCTTTTGTTTTTTTGCATGTGCACATGCATTTGTGTACGTGTGTGTAGGACACACATATTTCAAAGCACAAAGAGTCTAAGAAATTATACAGTAGAAAGTTTCCTACCAGCCTACCCATGTCTGTGTTTCCCACATCATCCCCTGGCAGTACATCCAAACAAATATGAATGTTACCCCCCTTTTGTTTAAAACACAAGTCTTGTTGTATAATGCACACTATTCTGAACTTTGCTTTACTATACCTTGGATAATCTGCTATAATGAGAGTTTATAAAATCTCTCATTTTTCTTTACAGTTTTATTTCTTTGGATAAAATCCTACAGAGTTTTATTTCTATGGATATACCACTGTTTATTTAGTTACTTTTTGATGGACATTTGGGTTGTATTACAACATTTTGTTATTACAGAAATGATGTGATGAATATCTTTGTACAGTCATTATTCCATATGTACACAATATAATTGAAGGAAAAATTCTCCAAAGTAAAATTGTTGGACACGCCAAGCATAGATGTAGTTGTTATTTTGAAAGATAGTGCCCATTTTCCCTCCACAGGCCTGTACTGCCTACCACCCTCAAATGATGGGAGTAACTTTTCCCCAGAGCCTTTACATTTTAAGAACATTAGCCTATTGTCTATAATATGAGATGCCAATATTGTTTCCCAGTTGTAATTTGTCATTTGACTTTGTTTATGTCACTCATTCTCTAATACAATCAAATTCATTCTTTCCTTTATGGTTTCTGGCTTTGTGGTCATAAGCAGGAAGGCCCTCCTAACCTCAAGTTATAAATAAATTCTTACATCTTACATGTTTGAGACCTTTTCCAGATTCATTTTCACATTTACAACTTTTAATTTACTAATATAAAATGAGCAAAATTAGTTAATTTGGATTTGAGCCTGCACATGTGTTTGATTTTGCCAAGGAGAGAAGCTCCGACAAACTGAGGGGTTTGTTTTTATTTTATTACCAGGTTTCTACTTGCATAGATACGTGCATGTCTCAGAATAGGGGTTAGCTAATGTCTCTTTCTGATTTTCAACTAAGATTTTGTTTATCCTTGTAGTTGTGTTTGGCCCAATTCACAGATAATTTTTTTAAATTTACATGTCTTAGCTCTCAATGTGGCTGTGCATAGAAACATTTAGAGATGTTCTCCACAGCAGCTGTACTTAGATTGTGGCCCATGGACAGAAATCATTTGTAAGCCCTGGCTGGTGTAGCTCAGTGTATTGAGCATGGGCTGCAAACCAAAGGCTCGCAAGTTCAAATCCCAGTCAGGGCACATGCATGGGTTACAGGCCAGGTCCCCACTGGGGGCCATGTGAAAGGCAACAGCACATTGATGTTTCTCTCTTTCTCCCTCCATTCTCCTCTCTAAAAATAAATTTTAAAATATTTTAAAAATGTATTAGAAAAGAAATCATTTGTGAAAAAGTAAAAATGAAGATAGAACTACAAAAATTAAACTTTTACATTATAACAATTTTATATTGCTGCATTATCCAACAATGTGTTCAGTTATTGGTTTATGAAGGGTTGGAAATGAAAAAAATCAATCAACCAAAAAAACTAAAACTAACTTAAAACTTCTCTATTTGACACAGATTTGAGAAGCACTAGTCTGAATGACTCTTTGTAGTCCCAAATATCTGTTCACATGTTGGTTTTATTTATACAGAACCAAGGAAAAATTATCAGCATTCAAATTACTTTTGTACACTGTGTCAGTTATTAAAGCCAGCAAAGAGTCCATTAATTGGGTTGAAAAATAAATTATAATATAAATTAGCCTATTTGCTAAACCAAGAAAAGAACTGCTTGAGAAAATAAATTTAAAAGCTAATCAATAGTTGAAAAACTATTGTTTCATGGGTAAGAGTAAAACTGTATCGTATCTACATCACAATATAAATTAGACTGAATTATCTTTCTAATGTATTACAATTAGTTAAATCTGATTATGAAAAAAATGCCTTTCTATAAGTTTCCTAATTTTTTTTACATCTTGATGCCAGTTTTAATCACTGAAATAATGATTGTATTAATGAAAGCACTCACTCTTATATTAATAAGTAGCTGTATTTCACCGCAATCTAATAGAACTTTCCAGGGGACCTGCTTACTGATTATGTTAAGAACTGGCTCTATTTTTGCCAACTTTAAACCTATCTTTGATATGCATATTAATTCTGCACTTTCACCCAAGTGCCCTGTCATTCACATGCATGCAATTCTGTAAAGCAATTGTTTTAAATCAGCAATAGGTTCTGACTCAAACTGTTGAATGAGAGTGCTACAAGTAGAACTGAAGAAGCTTTTGCCAGAAATAGTGTTGTTATGTGAGCCTGGACTCTGTTAAAAGAAATTGAGCCAGATTTTGAGTGTAAATGATGTGGCACCACAACGAATGTGGATCTAGAATGGTTTCGTCCCATTCAATTTTAATAAAAGTTCCAATAATATTTAGTCTTCAACTCAATATCAAATATGTTAATCCCAATAATGGACCCAATCATAAATCTAACTCCTCTATCATCTAACCAGTTGCTGTGGGATATAGATAAAGCATTCCCTCTACCACTTCCTCTTCTTTCTCTACTGTCCCAATTAGCATATATCACATTATTTAAAACCTGACTCAAAATTTTCTTCTTTTAGAAAGCATATGCAAGATCACTCCTTATTCTCCGACCATATTATTTGGTTTGTTCGAGCTTGTGTTACATTCTCTTTTGTCTGCCAATGTGTTATTTTTAAACTTTTCAAATTGTTGCATTTGTGTGTTATCTCTTCTCAGATATATTGGATGAAAGTAGAAGAAAAAATGCATGTGATTATTTAATAACCCAGTTAGTAGAATCCCTTTGTTACTTAGGCAACGCATTACAATTGAATTTGTGCCTTTAGCCATTTGGATACTAAATACTGCTTCATTATTAGGAGTAAAATAGGGGAAGATGCTATCATCAGTGAAAACCTTTCAATAGATTAGAATTCATTGTATTTGTATTTATTATATAAATATAAATAATATTTTAAAACATCATAGCATGTGTTTTATAGCATATTGTTTCAATTCCCTCTTGTTACTTCCCACTCTCCAGTGTAAGCACTCAACTTTGTTGGTGTTATTTTTTCTTAATTTAAGTTTCATTTTCACTTACAGTTTACATTCAGTATTATTTTCTAACAGTTTCGAGTATACAGCATAGTAATTAGACAATCATATGCTCATATACTTTACAAAGTGTTCCCCCTAATACTTCAAGTACTAACATATCGTCATAAATAGTTGTTATAATATTATTGACTATGTTTCCTATGCTGTACTTTACATCCCTGTGACTATTTCATATCTACCAATTTTATCAGCATTTTTGAGGGGTTCACTTTGAGGGTAAACACTGAGCTGATGGTAGAATTAAATGATATAAGTCAAATAAGCCAAGATGAAATTTGCTTTCCAATGCTGGAACAAGGACATATTTGGGTTACTTCTTCCTCTATTATCTTCTAATTCCTTTATTTCTCTAATCTGTGACTTACATTTCTTTCTTTTTTTCTTTGGTGTCAATCAGTAGGAGTCTTGATGTACATGCTTAAAAGTAAAAACATTTGATAATTCATTGCTCAACTAGTATACAAGGTTTGAGGATGCTATGTTTGTCTTTAATAATAATTTAAGTTATTTCTTGTTTTTGACATTTAACAATTCAGAGATAAAGAATTATGCATAAAGAAGAATCATGGAAGCAAATAATATTTGAGTAAACTTGGGAATTACCTAAACATTGTTTTGTTCTTCAATTTGTTTTTTATCAAAAGTATTTTCTTTATTTTTTCAACAGCTTCATTGAAGTATAATTAATATACAAAGAACTGCATGTATTTAATGTGTACAGTTTGATGAGTGTGGCCACGCAGATGCTATATTTAACTTTTATTTTTCAATATTTCCATTCCCATTTTTCATGACTTTCACTCAAATTTAAACTTAAACTTTCATTTACATACCAATTAAAGGAATAATATGCCTTTCCTCCTAGATGGAAAGACATATGATGCTTTTGTGTCTTACCTAAAAGAGTGTCAACCTGAGAATGGAGAGGAACACACCTTCGCTGTGGAGATTCTTCCTAGGGTGTTGGAGAAACATTTTGGGTATAAATTATGCATATTTGAAAGGGATGTAGTGCCCGGCAGAGGTAAGAAAGGTAAAGCCAAATAGAAAACTGGTGGAGATACTTTCTTTTCATAAGATGAATAGCTTAGCCTAACCCTGTTTGGCTTAAAAGCAATTAAAAATGACCTCCTGGCCAGAAATCACCAGCTAAATCAGTGTAGTGATTAGTGAGAAAACAAATTGGCTGCACTGCTCTCGTTAATGGCCCCTTTAGGACCCTGTCTCTTCACTGCACTTCCCAGTTTTCTAAAATTTTAGAACCAGCTCCAGAACTGGCATAATTGTGAAGCATTTATTTAGAAATGCTCTGTAGTAGTTAAGGACACCTGTTTTGATGATATTTTATGCTGCAGAACCAGACCCTCATTTAATACATGATCCTTTAAACACAGAAAAATGCCTGCTCTTTATTGTGCTGAAATTGGTGGGAAAACTAGAGTAAGAAATAGAAAAATTGGAAAAAAATAAAAGGAGATTAGTGTTTTATATATTTTAGTTATGGAAGTCAATTTTAAATTAATATATAAATACAAGTGGCCATAACACATATCTTGCATCAAAGTACAGTGAAAGTCAAAGATATTTAGTAACATGTCCATGTTTTCTCTAAAGTCTTTAATAGCAAACATTTGAAAGCTGGTGTCATGAGTGCTGATATGTTACAAATGATGTAATGGCTTCATTGGTAACATACTTTATTAATTTATCCAACATTTACTGAGTTTATCCTTGTGCCAAATTCTTAACAAGGCATTGAAGATGTGGCAGTAAGTAAGAAATGATTGTGCCTTTTCCCACATTAAATAAGAAATGATTGTGCCTTTGACATTAAAAATGTCAAAATTTTAAAATTTGGACGTTCTTTTTATTTTGTTGCTGTTCAAGTCCAGTTGTCTCCATTTTCACCCCACCAGAGTACCCTGCCCCATCCTTCCCCACCACCCACCTTTGAACTACCCTGTTTGGCTTTATTCATGTTCCTTGATGGGTCTTCCCCTATTTTCCCCCATTATCCCTCTTCACTTACCCTTCTGGTTGCTGTCAGTTCATTCTTTATTTCAGTATTTCTGGTTATATTTTGTTTGCTTGTTTGTTTTGTTGATTAGGTTTCACTTATAAGTGAAATCATATGGTATTTGTCTTTCACTGTCTGGCTTATTTCTCTTAGGCTAATGCTCTCCAGTTCCACCCATGCTGTCATGAAGTGTCTTCTTTCTTTCTGCTGTGTAGAATTCCATTGTGTAAATGTACCACAGTTTTTTTGGATCCACTCATTTACTGATGGGCACTTAAGTTGCTTCTAGCACTTGGCTATTGTAAATTGTGTCTCTATGAACACTGGAGTGCATAGGTTCTTTTGGATTGGTGTTTCTAGGATTCTAAGTGTATAATCCCAGTAGTGGTATTGCTTTGTCCAAAGGCAGGTCCATTTTTAGTTCTAAGGAAATTCCATACCGTTTTCCACAGTGGCTGCACCAGTCTGCATTACCACCAATCATATAAATTAGAAAGGAAAATATTACAAATTAGAGAAAATATAGTACTGTTTAATTATTAAAAATTCTCAAAAAATAATATGCCAAATTGTCAGATACTTATAACACTGTGATATTTTTGTCAACTCTTTCTAAGAATTTAGGAATTATTATTGTTTGCCTTTATATCAGTTTTAATATTTTACCATTATTTTCTAGTAGTGATTTTGAAAAACAGATTTCTTCTTATTAAAAAAAATGTTTGTTCTCAGTTGGAATATGTTTTGGTTGAAAATCTCTATACGAAAAGGGATAAAGGTCTAGAACAGAGGTTGACAATCTGCTACCCATGGGTCTCCAGGGACCTGTTCCCCTCACTGAAACTCAGTCATAAGCATTTGATTACTTGTTGTCTGTGGCTGCTTTTTAAATTACAATAGCACAGGCGAGTTGTGGCTAAAGCTATATCACCTGCAAAGCCTAAAATATTTACTTTGGGGCCCTTTACAGAAAAAGTTTGTCAGCTTCTGGTCTAAAATAATGGCATTTTTATTTTTAAATTTCTATTTTAGCATGCTCCCTCATACATGTGGAAAGGCAAGACAGTGTAATAGTTAGAAATAAGTACTACAAAACAAGACCATGTGGGTTCAGATTCTGGTTCTGCCATTTACTAGCTATGTGACTCTGGGATAGTTACTTAACTACTGTGTGCTTTGACTTCTTCCTCTGTAAAAATGGGGGTGATACTTTCTTTATAGGGTAAATATGATAATTAGATGAGTTAATATACACAAAACATTTAGTAAGGGGTGTGGCACAGAGTAAGTACTAAGTAAGTTTTCATTGTTATTGTTACCTAGATAATTGCTTTTAATAGTCATATCAAATTGAGAATAAATGGTTTGTATTAAAGAAAAACTTGTGAACTTTAGAGATAAATAATACAAAATTAGACTGTGCAAAATGATTTCTATTTCATGTTCACCCTTTCAGTTCTCTTAAATTAATATTTCACATCTTGCATTTTCAGCTGTTGTTGATGAAATCCACTCCTTGATAGAGCAAAGCCGAAGACTAATCATTGTCCTGAGTAAAAGTTACATGTCTAGTGAAGTCAGATATGAACTTGAAAGTGGACTCCATGAGGCACTGGTGGAAAGGAAAATTAAAATAATCTTAATTGAATTTACACCCATCAGTGACTTCACATTCTTACCCCAATCACTAAAACTTTTGAAATCTCACAGAGTTCTGAAGTGGAAAGCTGATAAATCTCTGTCTTATAACTCAAGGTTCTGGAAAAATCTTCTTTATCTGATGCCTGCTAAAACAGTCAAGCCATGGAGAGATGAATCTGAAGTCTTCCCCATGCTTTCACAGTCCTGATCTTCAGAAAAGCTGAATGTAATAAAGAACTCCTGATACTCTGGAGGACTGAGTTGATGAGTCTGTTCATAACCAAGGACATTTTTCAAAATATTGAACTCTATGAAAATCCTACTCATAGTTTGAAGATGGAATGTTGTTAGATTGCCAGGGATAATACTGAACATTGAGCTGTGGTTGTGTGGTTCTGGAACACCCTGGTGTTGGGAACCGCCCTGCCTGGTTTCAGGAGCTATAAACCCTCCATGGCTAAGGCTGAGTGAGCGACCTTCAGACCATAAGGTACTAAAGAGGCAAAGCTTATCTCCCTGGCAGGAATGCCGCTTCTGCTCCTTCATCCATAACTGGCCTCCCATGCTTGATCAGTTAGCCAATGACAAGTAAGATTTCCCAAGGGGGGAACCACCTAAGACAGGCATGATCACACGGAGGCCCCAGAGAAGGACTTGGGGGGCTATGGAGAAAGAGGGTGATGGACCCTCGCTGCCTGGCTTTGATGAAGCCTGAGTCAGTCTGTCTGTGAGAAGTCTCTGAGAATTCTTTGGCTATCTGCCCCCTCTGACTGACTTAAGCCTGAAAACAATGACTGAGGACGGTGCAGCCCTGTGCTGGAAAGGGCAGGCTCCCTGGGTGATGAGGCCTGAGAAAGGATATGTAAAATCCTGTGAAGCCTGCTTTGCTAAGAATGCTCTTAGTTAAATGATAAAGGCCTAGGCAGAAAATGAGTTTGTTTTCCCAAAGTTTTGTAGCCTTTTAGCTGATAGACCCCAGCTTAGAAGAAGCCCTAACAGTTCTTTGTATGCTATCTACTGTTTACTGCCTGACAATGATTAATAAGCTGTACCTGTAGTCCTGTGCAAAAAAAACAATAAAAGCCTGTCTAGGCAAGGGTTGGCATGCTCCCCCCTTGAGGGAGTAGCTGTGTCATCCTTTTCCTCCACAGGACTCAGTAGTCCATGTAAATTTGTCTTGATTTTGCATCCATAATGCCGCGGGCACTGCAGGCCAGTGCATGCATCACCCTGGAATTTAAAAGAACAAGAGTGTCCTGTTTTTCCCTCTTCTCTAACTGAGTGTTGAGGCTGGGAATTGTGCAAAAAAACCTATGTCTCACAAAAGGGCACATCTTTAAGATGCTAACAGTTGAACTACAGAATTTTAAATTTATGAAGTGGAATTTTCTGTGAGCCAGCAGGTGAAATAGTAACTGGAATGGTGCTGTCACCATCACTCTATAGCTACCTAGCTCTAAACATTGTGGGCAGTCCCTGGGATGTGGGGGATTGCTGGTAGGGCTGTGTGCAGAGTAGGGGAGTAATATTTGAACCTGCTATAATAGGGCCAAGGCCTCAGGATGTGTTCAGTGTATGTCTACCACAGTGACAGGTATGGTTCTTGAAACTCAACTGAGGCACTGCACAGGGCATGCTTACTTAAGTCTGTTTGTGGGAACTTCTTTTTTTTTTTTAATTAAAAAAATTTTAAAGATTTTATTTATTTATCTTTAGAGGGGAAGGGAAGGAGAGAAGGAGAGAAACACCAATGTATGGTTGCCTTTCGTGCATCCCCTGCTGGGAAGTGGCCTGCAGGGAACCGGCCTGCAACCCAGGCATGTGCCCTGACTGGGAATCAAAACTCGATTGTCTGATTCGCAGGCTCAATCCACTGAGCTACACCAGCCAGGGCTGTTTGTGGGAGCTTCTTAAAAGTGACCTGTAACAATCTTTTATCTTTCATGAGAAATACAAATTTTAATTCAAATGATTTTCCAGGTCTTTCAAAAGTGGTCAAAAACATTTGTGTTGACTTTATATAAATGTTCATAAACAGGATGGTTGCCAGATCATATTAGCCATAAACCAACAAAAAATTATAGTTATCTGCTTTAGTTTTAAAAATTCATGCCTTTAAAATGCCTGTAGGGTGGATGCAGCATAGCATGATGACTTTATGTGTGAGCTGTACAGCCAAAATTCTTGAGTTCAAATCTTGGGTTTACTTCTTTCTTCTGTGACCTCTGGAACATTTTCTAAGGGATCTGTACCTCAGTTTTCTCAATGGCAAATTAGAATTTATAATAATTATACCTACTTCAAAGGGGGACTAAATGAATAAAGCACCTGTGACAGTTCTTGGCTCAGACTTAATATTCTTTAACTGTTGTCATTACCACTTTTGTTATCATTAATATTACTTAGATAAAATTTTTAGCAGTGGAGTAAAATAGATTCCAGAAAGCAGGAAAGCAAAGAGATATGGAGAAGAAGGCAGTTATGTCTCAGGACATTAATTGTATATGGAGAGAAGTGTATAGGAAAGGTATACCAAGAGGAAGGATATTTCTTCATTGGACATGAGCAATTTTTGACAGTGGAAGACATATATCTGTCTCACTAAAGTGAGCCTACCACTGTGATCCTAGCCTTCTTGATAGCCTCAGCAATGATGTCTATGCAGGACAATCACTGAGTGAGTGACAAGGATCAGCCTTAAAGAGAAAGGAAAGTGCTGGTTAAGTTTGGAAGGCTGGGTAGAGCATATCCATGCAGCGTGGATGTTCCAAAAAAGCTTAGAGAGAGACTGTTCAAAACAGCTGTAATATATTGCTGAAAATTAAGGAATAATGATATTTTCATGAGATTTCAGTGCCAGAAAATGATTTAATTTTTGTAGAGCTTCCAATTCTGTGCTCTAGTTGTATACTAGAAAAAGTAAAAGAATTAAATTGCTAACATGTTTTATATGTGAAAATATATGATCAGGAGAAAGTTTATTTGCTGTCATCATAGTCTCTACTACAGAGAATAACTATGCTATTCTCTTGTACTAAGCATGCTTTAAAATATAATAAGTGTATTTTTATGAAATGTGCTAAATGTATATATTAAATACATGCTTTAAGATATATCAATGAACTATTGGTCTAGTGACTTCAGTTTTGAAATGTCTAATGTCTATTTCATTTTAAGATTCTAATCTCATGCTCAATGTAAATTCTCATCCCTTTTAATAAGATATGAATCATCCAACCTCTATTTTCCTTAATGTCAGATTACTTTGTGCCTACCTTCTTCATTTTATCTTTCATTCTGAAGCAAAAGAATTCCCTTCCCTTTCTTACAAGACCACTCAATACTCAGCACAAATACTAGGTTTTCATATGCCAGTTAACTTTTATTGATGGAATGAAATTATTCTCTTTTATGGCTTCAGATGTCCTTAAACTGTGGAATCCATTTGAGAGAATCAGTGAATATCAACTCTCTAAATGTGTGAAGAAGTACCTCATGTACCTCATGTATATCTATTATATACTGGAAGCATTTGTTAAATTAAAGTTATATACTCTCTTAATGCAGAGAGAGATCTTATTGCCCACATATTCCAAACCCAGGATCTTGAGACACAGTAAGTCCAGGGACTTGAATCAGATTGCCTAACTTGCTAGTGTGACAAAGCTGGGGCAGAAATATATAATGTGTTCTGTCTTTGTAATTTCCTATTGAACTGTGAGACTTCAGGTAAGGTTTTGGAGGCTGTGAGCCCTTTCCTGGGGAGACACCTTATTCTAGAATTGTCTAGTCCAGCGTCATGTAGAGAGGATGCAGGACTGCCTAGGCTGGTTTAGAGGAGAAAAAAATGACAAAAATCTTTCAGGCTTTATCTCTAGGCTGATGGGAAATAGAAATTTAAGGATGGCAGTTATAGATAAACCATATTTGAATAGATGTTCAAGCTCCAGACAAAATATTTTCCAGAAAAAGATAGAATCCTCATGTGTTGAATGCATTGAACAGCATTTTACATTTCTGGTGGAGAGTTTAGAAGTGAATTAATGAAAGGTATAAAGAAATTTCATCAAATGAGAAAACACGAGTATTAGCTTCAAGTGGTATATGCAAAGAAATACAGTCAAATAGCACTATATGGTTCTGCCACAAACAATAGGTACCTAGTCACAATGGTGTAAACATTAAATCTTTATTTAACTAAAATTGTGATATAGCAACAGTTTATTGTTTCCAGCCAAGATGGAGGCATAGGTAGATATGCTCCTCTTCCTTGCACAACCTAAAGAACAACAACAAATTTAAAGACAAAAAAAAAAAAACAGCCCCAGAACTGCCAGAAAATCAAACTGCATGGGAGTTTGACAACCAAGGAGTTAAGGAAGAAACATACACCCAGACTGGTAGGAGGGGTGGAGATGGACAGGTGGTAAGAAGGTGGCTGGCAGACCAAGTAGTCCCACATTCTCATGTGAATGAACTGGGAGGAACAACTAGGGAGCGAGACAGACCACATAACCCAGGATTCAGGGGTTGGGAAACATTCTCAAAACCTTTGGCTATAAAAACTGGTAGGGATATGACTGAGAGAAACTGCCAGTCTCACAGGAGAGTCTGTTGGAGGGTACCAAGAGGTCATAGGCCATACACAAGTCCATCCACGGAGGAATGAGCACCAGGGCATCACCTCAAAGGGCTCAATTCACTTGTCACTGACAATGGGGCAAAAGCTGAGAAAATGGTATTGTTCCCTCTCTGACCCTGCCCCTACAACATGGAGAAGTGGGTTGCCCTGCTCTGATGAACACCTAAGGCTCTGCCCCTTAAAATGTAACAGGCGCACCAAGACAAAGAAATATGATCCAAATAAAAGAACAGATCAAAACTCCAGAAAAAGAAGTTGAGATAGCCAAACTATCAGATGCAGAGATCAAAACTCTGGTAATCAGGATGCTCACAGAAATGCTCACAGTATGGTCGCAAAATAGAGGAAGAAGTGAAGGCTATACAAAGTGAAATAAAGGAAAATATATAGGGAACCAACAGTGAAGGGAAGGAAACCAGGACTCAAATTAATGATTTGGAGCAGAAGGAAGAAATAAACATTCAATCAGAACAGAATGAAGAAACAAGAATATGAAAAAAAAAATGAAGAGAAGCTTAAGAACCTCCAGGACAAATTTCAATGTCCCAACATCTGAATCATAGGGGTGCCAGAAGAATAGTTAAAGCAAGAAATTGAAAACTTATTTGAAAAAATAATGAAAAAAAATGTCCTCAATCTGGCAAAAGAAATAGACTTCCAGGAAGTCCAGGAAGCTCAGAGAGTCCCAAAGAAAGTGAACCCAAGGAGGAACAACACCCAGGCACACCATAATTACATTACCCAAGATTAAAGAGAATGACACAATCTTAAAAGCAGCAAGAGAAAAGGAGACAGTTACCTACAAGGAGTTCCTCTAAGACTATTAGGTGATTTCTCAAAAGAAACCTTTCAAGCAAGAAGGGGCTGGAAAGAAGTATTCAAAGTTATGAAAAACAAGGACCTACAATGTAGATTAATGTACCCAACAAAGCTTTCATTTAGAATGGAGGGGCAGATAAAGTGCTTCCCAGATAAGGTCAAGTTAAGGAGTTCATCATCATCATGCCCTTATTATATGAAATGTTAAAGGGTACTGGACGCGGGCCCTCAGTGTTCATGTCATTATGGATGAAATGAGACATTCACATGAACTACTGAGTCCGGTGGAGGAAAAGGGACAGCATGGCTTTTCTCTCAAGGGGAGCAAAAGCCAAGGCCCTTTTTGTTACTGGCCTTTATTGGGTTTCTCAGCACATTACATGATGGTCCTCATTTACTATGTACAGGTTGCTTTAGATCGTTCCTTTTACAGAAAACAAAGGAACCAATGCCACTAATCACATCACAAAAGAGGGATATTTGCAAATGAAAAGGCAAAAGTGGTTGAACAGGTTACACTGGTCCTAGGAAGGTTTAGCATGGATTTTAGGGAGTTACTTTGCAGTAAATGTTTGCCACTGGGGGCTGGGCCCTCACCATGCAGAATGGTCTCCTACAATTATCTAAGAAAAAGCAGATTAAAACCATGAACAGTAAAATGACAACAAACTTACAACTATCAACAACTGAACCTAAAAATAAAAAAAAAAAATAAACTAACCAAACTGAAGCAGAAACAGAATCATAGAAGTGGTGCGAGATCACATGGAGCATTATTGGCAGGGAGGGAGCAGGGTTGAGGGGAATGGGGGAAAAGGTACAGAGAATAAGAAGAATAATTCATAGGTACAAAATAGACAGGGGTAGTTTAAGAATAGTATAGAAAGTGGAGAAGCCAAAGAACATATGTACAACCCATGTACATGGAGGGGAATGCTAGAGGGAGACAGGTGGGAGGAGGAGGGGCAGAAAGGGGAGCAATACAATGGGGCAATTATAATAGTATCAATAAAATATACTTTAAAAATAAAATTATGATATAGCTATTTTTGGAGGCTAAAGGGAAGGGGAAATGTGTTTGTGGTGGTGGAGGTTAGGGTAAAGCATACCTTTCATTGTTAGAAATTCAACAGATTATATCTAAAACTGTTGGAGCCCAAGAGGCCTGTGAGGGGTCGAGGATAAGGTCTAGCACTGCGGGTGTGGTGACTGGGCCTGGTTTCCGGCCTCGGGGCTATCTTGGGTTGTAACAGTTCTCTGACCCCTTGAGAAACTAGCCGCTTCTCCCATCAACTCATATCTTTGGCCTGTGCATCATGTACCCAGAAAGTATGTTAGCTTGAGAATGTCCGGACTCTAAGGGAAGAGATAAACTTTGTAGGTCAAGGAAGTGAGCTACGTGCCAGAAGGCTTCTCCTTTGTTCTCCTTTGTATCCAAGATTGTATATAAGCCAGAAGACTGCGCAATAAACTTGCCTTATGCCAGCAGAGCATTTGGTCCTCTCCTTTATTTCAGTCCCTCGCTCAGCCTCACGACCACCCTTGCTGCAGCGGGCTGTGGCAGAGTGGCGCCCGGAACAGGGACCTGAAGAGTCCAGAATCGTGAGGATTTGAGATCCCGAGAGGACCGCTGCTACGGGGGCCTGGTAAGTTAAAAGTAAAAGTAGCAGGGAGCGGTGTAGGAGAGCATAATAATGGGGAATTCCCACTCTTCCGAAAGGGAGTTGTTTGAACAAGTATTGTGCACCCTATTAAGGGGACGAGGTGTCACAACCTCTAAGGGGCAAATCCATCGTTTTGTGGATTTTGTCCAACAAGTATGTCCTTGGTTCCCTGTAGAGGGAACGATTAATATTGATACTTGGAGGAAGATTGGGGAGTCAATAGATGGTTTCTCCCCCGAGAGACAGATTTTCCCTGTCCTTCAGAGGCAGAATGATCAGGGCCAACAGTGGCGAGATTATGAGCCTATTCCTTACAAGACCTTGAAGGAGTTAAAATTAGCCTGTGCCCAGTATGGGGATACGGCCCCCTTCACCATTGCTACCATGGAAACTATCACGAGCCTTGCTCTTCCCCCGCAAGATTGGAAAACTATGTGTAAGGCAGTGTTAACCGGGAGTGATTATTTGTTATGGCTTGCTGAATATCAAGAGAGCTGTGAGCGACAAGCTAGGTCTGAAGCTGCTCGCAGGCTTGGAATAACATGAGAGGCAGCTAGAAAGCTGGTGCAAGAGCAGCTTGCTGCCAGACATATTGAACCTTCCACGTCACCATGGAATTCTCCTATATTTGTTATCAAAAAGAAGTCAGGAAAGTGGAGGCTCCTTCAGGATTTGAGGAGAGTAAATGCTTCCATGTTCCCCATGGGTGCATTGCAGCCTGGACTTCCATCTCCTGCTGCCATCCCTCCATCTACTTATAAAATTGTGATTGACTTAAAAGACTGTTTTTATACTATTCCACTGTTCTCTTCTGATTGTCAGAGATTTGCTTTTAGTGTTCCCTCCACTAATCTTCGGGAACCAATGTTAAGATTTCA